CACGTGCACGGGGTCAGGGGATGGAAGGCCGAGCAGGCGAAGAGCGGACACCGGCGGGGACTGCTGTGACGGCGGTGTGACGCCGACACTGGGACCGCAAGCTGCCACGCAGCTACCTCCAGAACACTCCACACCAGCACTTCCAGAAGAAACACCCCCAGAGCTCAGAACCCCTCAAGCACCGGTACCACCCCCAGGCCCGCCGGGACAAGCCACGACAGGAGTCCCAGGACTAGTACCCACCCCAACTCCAGCACCCCCAGAGGCAACCAACTGCTGCGGCGACGGCTGCGGCGGCGGCGGTCGCAACGACGGCTGCGGCAACGGCGGCGGCGGTGACGATGGCTGTGACAGCGGTGGCGACTGCGGCTACGGAGGCGGCAGAGGAGGGGACACGTGAGAAGGGGCAGGCGGCTAGGACTGCGCCGCAGGACTACCAGAGTCAGTAGACTCTTCAACCGGTACGACCGACGTAAGTGGGGTGACGTGGGACACACCAGAGGGGGCAGGACGGGGAGGGGGAGGAGGAGGGGCAGCGACGACCGGGTAAGGGGTGACCAGGAACAGGGGGGGGGTAACCGGGGGACCTCGGTGGGGGAAGCGGCGGAAGAAGGAGACGGACTCGTCAAAGGTGACGTCACGAGAGTGAAAGAACCTGTGAGACGGCGGGTGGTAGAAGTGCCAGTCAGACGCATCAAGGGGGAAGCTGAGGAAGACACAAGGAAGGGTGCGGGCAGTGAGCTTGTTCGTGCCAGAGGCACGAACGTGAATAAGACAGCCCCAGACGTGGAACGCAGACGCATCACCAGGTGACCCAGACCAAAGGAGGGTCGGCGAAACCTGAGGCTGCTGGGGGTGCGGCCACAGGTTAAGATGGTGAGCGGCATAGCGAACGGCGAACGGCCACAAAAAATGGGGTGCACCGGCATGGATCATGGAGGTGCGAGCCACATCCATGACCAAACCGATGCGTCGCTCAGCGACCCCATTCTGCTGCGGGGAGTCCGGCAAGGTGAACGTCTGGGTGATGCCCTCCGCACGACAGAAACGACCAAGGACACCAGAGGCAAACTCGCCACCACGGTCGGAGTGGAGGTGCAAGACAGGGAGACCGCGACGGACACGCGCAACAACAAGCCACGGGATAAGAACGTCAGGCACGTCGGCCTTCCGCTCCAGGGGAAACACGGTGGTGTAGCGCGTGTAGTCGTCGACAAGCACTAGGAAGTAGCGCTCGCGACGCGGCCCATGGACGCGGGTGGGGCCCCAGACGTCCATGTGCAAAGTCTGTAGCGCTGCAGCGATAGGGGGAAACGAGGAGGAGTGAGGAGCACGGCGAAGCCGGCCCTCGACACAAGGCGTGCAAGGTGGGGTAGGGGAGGAGGGAAGCTCAGAGAACGACCCAAGGAGGCCTAGGACGAGACCGTGCTGTGACATGTGACACAGACGCGGGAGGGCAGGGTGACCTAGACGGTGGTGCCACAGGAGAGTCGGGTGGGTGAGTGACCGACAGGAGCAAGCAGCAGCAACCTGGGTAGACGCAGCCACCTGAGGGGGGGTCCCAGCTGGGGGGGTCACAGTGTCCAGTGTGAACAGTCCGGACACCGGGTCCCGGGGGAACGTGGTAAGGGGGGCACCAGTGGCGGCCTCGGTACAGACAGCGTACCGCTCGTGACCAGGGAACGTAGTGGTGATGCCAAGGTCCTGGAGGCAGCCGACACCAACTAGGTTCCTGGAGAACGAGGGGATGTGGAGGCCTGTGAGAGAGGCCGAAGGAACCGCTAGGCAGGGGAGGGTGGTGGAACTGCGGGCGACTACAGGGCCAGAGGAGGGGTCAGCCAGGGAGACGGCGGCATGGACAGGAAGCAGTGTCAACGTGGTGGAGTCGTGGAAGAAGCACCGGGAAGCGCCAAAGTCGAGGGTGAAGGAGAGCGCAGCAGTGGCGGCCGGAGGCGAAGTAGCGACGGAAGCACCAAGGCTAAACAAAGCAGGGGATCCTACGCCTGACGCAGCAGGGAAGTCTAAGGAAGGCACACCTATACTAGGCAACAAGGGGTAATAAGATAGAAGCACACTAGAGTCATCAGCATACATCACATGTAGAGCAGCAACAATCTCATCCATGTCTACATAAAAAATCTGAACCCTACGACTAATCAAGCTGTGCCAGTCTGGGAGCTCGGGCGAGGGGTCGAAACGCCGACGAAACAGGTTGTCCAGGCAACGGAAACAGCGGACGGAGGTATGACCGATCGTACCGCAAACGAAGCCACGGCGAGGACCGGTCTGAAGCAGGTACTGACAGCGCGCCGCACCCGAACCACCACTCGGCAGCCCACCACGCGCACCACCACCACGTCCAGCGCTGCCACCAGCGCCGGGCCACCCAGGCGGAAGACGACTCGTCCGCCTCTGCTGCTGCTGCGGGTGCGGCGACGGCTGCAGCTGCGACGGCGGCGGCTGCGGCTGCTGCGGCTGGCGCGGGTCCGGCGGCAACACCGGCGACTGCTGAGGCGGCTGCTCGGCTGCACCTGTCAGGGTCCCCGCGTCAGCACCACCACTTGGTGACCCAACTCCAGCTGCACCTACACCCGCACCCCCACCCCCGTCGCCACGTCCAGCCTTGGGGCGGCGACCCTTCCCCGGACGAACCTGTGCGGCAGCGGCAGTCTCAGCCACAGCAGCAGAACCATCGGAGAAAGTGCACTGAGCGGGGGCACAACCCTAAAAGATAGGGACCGGCACAGTACCGCTGGTCTGAGCGATAGAGCGGTGGCGGGCCTCTATTGCGGACAGGGTGTCAACAAAGTCAGCGAGGGTAAGGTCTGCTGGGTGGATGCTAAGAAAGCGGTCACAGGCAGTGGCAAGACGGTCAAGGAGGCAGGAGGCTAGCAGGTAGAGAGTAGAGGTGAGGGGCGGCTGGTGGGCTAGAAGCTGTGTGGGGGTGCAGGCAGCACGCCAGGTCTCGTCTATGGTGCGCAGGTAAGCGGCCAGGTCGGCGACAGTGGGGAACGACGCAAGGTCAGAAAAGAGCATGGGGAGGATCAGACGACCGACCGAGGCAGCAGGCGAGGTGGAATAGCGCTGGACAACTGCATCTAGGAAAGCCTGGGCAGTGGTGATAGACCTGAAGCGAGGTCGCTCGGACAGGGGGAGGGCATTGCTAATAGCAAGCTGTGCAACAGCGTCACGGGACAGCCAAACAGAGCGAGCAAGGGCAGCGGCTGCAGCGGACTCACGCCCAACGGACGAGGGGTCAGGAGACAGGGCAGCGGTGGGGTCAGGGCAGGGGAGGGTACCATCAAGATGGACAGACAGCGAGTGGCCATCCTGCCGCTGACCAGTGAGATGGCGATGGAGGTCAGCAAGCCACGCATCAAACTCAATCGGCTGGCCCTCAGCGTCAAAGCAAAGCACCGCCGCCATGAGTGACAATAGAGGGCAGTTTAGAGTAGGACAGTGCGGTGCAGTGCTGTGCAGTGCGGTGTAGTGCAGTGCGGTACAGTGCGGTATAGTGCGGTGCAGTGCAGTACAAGGCGGTGCAATGCAGTACAGTGCGGTACAGTGCGGTGCAATACGGTGCAGTGCGGTACAAAGCGGTGCAGTGCAGTGCAAAGCGATGCAGTACGGTACCGGGGGGGGTTCGGAGGGCGGTGCTAATCGGGAAGAACGGGCCGGACCCGAGGCAGCGGCGGGCCGGCGACAACGCAAATGCAGGGGCCGGCCCGCGGGCGGCAAGTAGACACGGCCGCGACGGCGGCCAGGGACAGCCGCAACGGCGACCAGGGACAGCCGCGACGATAGCCAGGGGCAGCCACGACGGCGGCTAGGGACAGCCGCGACGGCGGCCAGGGACAGCCGCGACGGCGGCGAGGGGCGGCCGCGACGGCAGGAGCGACCGTGAGGCAGCTGGAGACGGCAGCGGCGGCGGCTAGGGGCGGCCACGACGGCGAGGGGTGGCCGGGACGACTAGGGGCGGCCGAGGGACGGCAGGAAGCGGCCGCGACGGCGGCTAGAAGCAACCGCGACGGCGGCTAGAAGCAACCGCGACGGCTAGGGGCGGGCTCAAACGGCCAGGGGGCCTGCGAGGAGCGGGCGCGAAACGGCCAGGGCGCCGGCTAGGAGGGGCTCAACGGCCAGGGGGCCGGCTAGGGACGAGCGCGAACGGCCAGGGGGGCGGCTAGGGACGGGCGCGAACGGCCAGGGGGCCGGCTAGGGGCGAGCGTGACGGTCAGGGGGGCCAGCTAGGAGCGATCGCGACGGTCAGGGGGCCGGCTAGGGGCGAGCGCGACGGTCAGAGGCCGGCTAGGAGCGATCGCGACGGCCAGGGGGGCGGCTAGGAGCGGGTGCGACGACCAGGGGGCCAGCTAGAGACGGGCGCGACGGCTAGGGGGCCGGCAAAGGGCGAGCGCGACAGCCAAGGGGCCAGCTAGGGGCGGGCACGAACGGTCAGAGGTCGGCTAGGGACGGGCGTGACGGTCAGGCGGGCCACTAGGAGCGATCGCGACGGTCAGGGGGGCGGCTAGGAGCGGGCGCGACGGCTAGGGAGCCAGCTAGAGACGGGCGCGACGGCCAGGGGGCCGGCTAGGGACGAGCGCGACGGCCAAGGGCCGGCTAGGGACAGGCGCGAACGACCAGGGGGGCGGCTAGGGACGAGCGTGAACGGCCAGGGGGCCGGCTAGGGACAAGCGCGAACGGCCAGGGGGCCGGCTAGGGACGGGCGCGAACGGCCAGGGGGGCCAGCTGGGGACGAGCGCGACGGCCAGGGGGCCGGCTAGGAACGTAGGGGCGGAAGCGTACGTGGGCTAGGGGGGGGATCTAACCTACTATGATACCATATCAAAAAGAAAAATGATTGAACTAGAATGTGTGTGTACAAGGATATATAGACTAGGGTGTTGTACCCTCTAAGGCACAATCCAGTATAGTCTACAGAAACAACCAGAGTTGCATTTGACACTTCGGACACGCTCTCAGGCGAGGGCCGATTTTGGGAAGAGGATAGCCTGGGAAGAGGCTGGTAGGAACTCGCTCTTAGCCTTCTGAAAATATCCTAAGCAACTCAGCCCAGCAGAAATTGGTTGGTAGATAATTTACTCGTGTCCTCTATACCAGAAAGGGAGACCAGGCAGCTTCATACTATTGAGCTGCATAAACTACAAATAATATATCAGGTTAAGAAACTACGCATGGCACGGTACTACATCCTACATCAAGCTGCATGCTTTGGAGAGAAAGACCTGCGCCGCTTCGGCCCATCGAGGTAATGCTCCTGGACGAGACCTGGCTCAGGCTAAGTCAACAGCAGTCAACAGCGGACCAGCATGATCAACAGCAGTCAACAGTCAACAGCACAGCAGTTCAGCACGGTCAACAGCAGTCCACATCAGTCAATGGACGTGAAGATGGCCTCTAGTCTTTCCACCGAGGCGTAAAGGCGTCCCACGTTCAACCCTAAAATCGGCTCCCCTGTTCCCAGGGCTCTGGAAATCAGGAGAGAGCGAGTTGGTGGGTGAAGGAAACGGGAAAAGGGGAGATGGAAGGGCAGGAGAGGGGAGTCAGAGGGGATGAGAGAGAGAAGGAAAAACGGAATGTGAGAGGCTGTTCAAAGGAACTGTGTCAAAGAGGAACTCTGTCACTTCTTTTATGTCTCACCCATGCATGCCGGGCAGCACAGCGTCTCACCCAAGCACGCAGGGCAGCACAAAAATTCACCCATGCATGTGGGGCAGCACAAAAGCTCACCCATGCATGTCCGGCAGCACGTATTCGGCGTTCCATCCCACCCGCACGTCCACGCCCGGGCACACGGGCAGGTTGTGCTTATAACGAATCTCCGAGGGCGTGTTCCCATTCAGGACAGAAGTCAACTTCCACTTCCACCCCGTCGCATTGTGGCGGAAATCGTGGCCGATTCCCACCTGAGAGGGAAGGTGGGGAAGTGGGGAAGAAGTTGGGGGGTAGGGAGGATGAGGGGAGAGGGAGAGGGGAGTGGGAGATGGGAGAGGGAGAGGAGAGAGGGAGAGGGAGAGGAGTACACCGCATTGCATGCACCTCAAGCTACCTGCTGGTCGAGTAACCCCATGATAGGAATCTTGTGAACGAGGAAGCAGATGTCTCTCCCTTCTGCAGATCGAGGTGGGCGCTCATAACCAGCACACTGCACCACACTATACTGCACTGCACCGCAATGTACCTGCAGGTTCAGCAGCCCCGCAATGGGGATCTTGCGGGTGAGGAAGCGGATGTGCCCCGCTGCGGCTCAAAGATGTGCATCCATGGAACCACAGAACCGCACAGCACCACTTCGAACTACACAGCACCTACTCATACCTGCAGGTTGAGCAGCCCCGCTATAGGAATCTTGCGGGTGAGGAAGCGGATGTCGCCCCGCTGCGGCTCAAAGATGACCTTCCACTTGCGGTTCGTGGTGGTTGGCTTTAAGACCAGCTTCAGATTCGCGCTGTTCACCTGTTGAGGGGAGGCAAGGGGAGGCAGGGGGGAGGCAGGGGGGAGGCAGGGAGGAGGCAGGGGGGAGGCAGGGGTTGGGGGGGCAGAGGGGAGGCAGGGAGGAGGCAGGGAGGAGGCAGGGGGGAAGCAGGGGGTGGGGGGGGGCAGGGGGGAGGCAGGGAGGAGGCAGGGGGGAGGCAGGGGGGAGGCAGGGAGGAGGCAGGGGGGAGGCAGGGAGGAGGCAGGGGGGAGGCAGGGGGGTGGGGGAGCAGGGGGGAGGCAGGGAGGAGGCAGGGGGGAGGCAGGGGGGAGGCAGGGAGGAGGCAGGGAGGAGGCAGGGGGGAGGCAGGGGGGTGGGGGGGGGGCAGGGGGGAGTCAGGGAGGATGCAGTGGGGAGGCAGGGGGGATGTAGGGGGGTGGGGGGGCAGGGGGGAGGCAGGGAGGAGGCAGGGGGGAGGCAGGGGGGGGGCAGGGGGGAGGCAGGGGGGAGGCAGGGGGGAGGCAGGGGGGAGGCAGGGGGGAGGCAGGGGGGAGGCAGGGGGGAGGCAGGGGGGGGCAGGGGGGAGGCAGGGGGAAGGCAGGGGGAGGCAGGAGGGAGGGAAGGGGGGAAGCGGGAGGAGGGGGGGAAGGGGGAAAGCAGGCGGGATGGGATTGAGTGAAGATGACCTTCCATTTGCAGTTGGTGGCGTTGGGTCTCAGCACCAGCTACAGAGGGAGAGCAGGAGAGCTGTGCATGGGGAGTCTATTTTTGAGGCGCCTCAAAAATAGACTTGCAGTTGGTGGCGTTGGGTCTCAGCACCAGCTACACAGGGAGAGCAGGAGAGCTGTGCATGGGGAGTCTATATTTGAGGCGCCTCAAAAATAGACTTGCAGTTGGTGGCGTTGGGTCTCAGCACCAGCTACACAGGGAGAGCAGGAGAGCTGTGCATGGGGGGTCTATTTTTGAGGCGCCTCAAAAATAGACTTGCAGTTGGTGGCGTTGGGTCTCAGCACCAGCTACACAGGAAGAGCAGGAGAGCTGTGCATGGGGAGTCTATATTTGAGGCGCCTCAAAAATAGACTTGCAGTTGGTGGCGTTGGGTCTCAGCACCAGCTTTCAGTTGCAGAGCAGGAGAGATGTGCATGGTCCTCCATTGTTCCTTCGGGGTATGCATTACACACATACCTGGAATGAGCACAGGGACAGCGCAAAAATGCTAGGGCACAGCAGCTCAGACAACTTAACACCGCGAGTAATGAGACTTTTGAAACGCCGCAAAAATGCTAGGGCACAGCAGCCCAGACAACTTTACAGTCGACTCAAAAAGCATGGTCCTTGTTCCTTGGACGCATGCATGACACACATACCTGGAATCCACACAGGGAGAGCGCGCTATGCTAGGGCACAGCAGCCCAGACAACACCTGCTCACCTGGAATCCGCATAGCAGCATCGAGTTGTGCTTCTAGGGTGAAGCAGGGGGAGGGGGGGTCCGTGGGGCGTAACAGGCATACCTGGAGTCCGCACAGCGACAGCGGGTTGTGCTTCTAGGTTGCAGTAGGGGGAGGGGGGGGTCCGTGCGTGGGGCGTTACACACAACCTTGGAATCCGCACAGCGACAGCGGGTTGTGCTTCTAGGTTGCAGTAGGGGGAGGGGGGGGTCCGTGCGTGGGGCGTTACACACAACCTTGGAATCCGCACAGCGACAGCGGGTTGTGATTCTAGGTTGCAGTAGGGGGAGGGGAGGGTCCGTGTGTTGGGTGTTACGCACAACCTTGGAATCCGCACAGGGACAGCGGGTTGTGCTTGGGAGAAGCAGCGGTGGCAGCGGCTTTAGGAGAGGGGGAGAGGGTCGAGAGCTGCGTCTGATCCTTGCTCCCTTAGGACGCGCTACATTGCGTCCGGTTCTCCGATCATTTTCCGATCTTGGCACTGTAGAAAGCTGGTAACCCGACAGCTACAGTAGCCTCGAAATAGTCTTGTAGCAGATCGGAGGGGAGGATCACTTTCAAAACAAAACCGGGAATCAATCTCACGTCCAAAACACTAACGATCCTCCTCTACAAAGTAGCAGATCGCCCCGCCCCAAATGCCACGAAATCAGAATGGATTTGCCAACTCGCCATTGCGAAAGAAGTGACAAGGCAAATCCTCCTGTCTCGCGCCGCACTGTAGTGTCTGATGGAAATTGCGAAGGTGTAGGGTGGGTTGCTGGGTTTCGACGAACTCTTCAGCGAAAATACATGCTGCCCAGCTGCAAATCGATACTCGACATCGAAAGCTGCAAATCTGGAACATGCCTATGTCGCGTACAAGGTCGATATTGGAGATCGTTTTAATTGAGTCAGAATCCAAATCCTTAAAAAGCAGACAATCGAAATTTTTGCCACGATCCTCCGAAACGGACGCAATGTAGCGCGTCCTTACACTCAGACAACACCTGCTCACCTGGCATCCGCATAGCGACAGAGGGTTGTGCTTCTAAGGTGCAGCAGGGGGAGGGGGGGTCCGTGGGGCGTTACACAACACCCATACCTGGAATCCGCATAGCGACAGCGGGTTGTGCTTCTAAGGTGCAGCAGGGGGAGGGGGGGTCCAAGCGTTGGGCGTTACACTACACGCATACCTGCAGTCGCATAGCAACAGCGGGTTGTGCTTCTAAGGTGCAGCAGGCGGGGTCCGTGCGTGGGGCGTTACACGCATACCTGGAATCTGCACAGGGACAGCAGGCGGTGCTTGAGCGCAGCAGCAGCAGCTTTGGGGAGAGTGAGAGCGCGGAGAGCTGCACTTGGTTCTTGCGCCCTTACACTCACACAACCCCTGCTCACCTGGCATCCGCACAGGGAGGGCGGGTTGTGCTTGGGCGCAGCAGCAGCAGCGGCGGCTTTGGGGGAGAGAGAGAGCGCGGGGAGCTGCACTTGGCTCCACATTGGCCCCATCCATGTCATGTTACGCGCTGCATGTCATGACGCGCGCTGCAGGCATACCTGGAATCCGCACAGCGACAGCGGGTTGTGCTTGGGCGCAGTAGCACTAGCAGTTTTGGGGGAGAGAGACAGCGTGGAGAGCTGCACTTGGTCCTTGCGCCTAAGCTCCACGTTGGCCCCCAGGCGGTACTTTAGAAAGCGCTGGCGGAACTTAAAGAGCACCTCCTTGGGCTTCCAGTCGATCTGGTACATCTCCCGCCACCACGCCCACGCCTCATCCTCCCCCCCACCCCCTCCCCCGCTCCCGCCACTGACCCTGCTCCTCCGCCCATCCTCCTGCTCCCCCCTCCCCCTCCCCCTCCCCCTTCCCATCCCCCTCCGCCTCCGCCTCCGCCTCCCCCAAGCGCGCCCCCTGACAGCCCTGAAGCGTCCGGTTCGTTGGAGTAGGACGGGCTGATGCGGAGGGGTCCGCCCCTGCTTGCGCCCCCTCCCCCTCCCCCTACCCCCGGGTAGTACTGCTGCTGCTGCTGCTGATTGTGGTTGTAGTATGGCTGCTGGTGCGGCTGCTGGTGCGGCTGCTGGTGCGGCTGCTGGTGCGGCTGCTGGTGCGGTTGCTGCTGGTGGTGGTGGTGGTGGTGGCGGTGGTGGTGGTGCTTTCCCCCCCCTCCTCGGCTCCGGGAGGAAGGGTAGGCTACAGCTGCAGCAGAAGAGCCTGCCCCAGTTGCGCCCGTCCCAGGTGCTGTGGTTCCAGCAGGGGTGTAGCGGGGATCCTCTGGCTGCACGCAACGATGAAGGAATTGCGGAAGGGGTGATGCTGGAGGGTTTGGTTGCGTTTTGGAGGGGTGCTGTGCTTTATGAGGCGCCTGAAGAATGGGACCAGGGGGGCTCGCAGCAGGGGTGTAGCGGGGATCCTCTAGCTGTGCGCAACGATGGGGGAAATGGGGAGGGGTTGGTTGGGGAGGGGTTGGCTGGGGAGGGGTTGGATGTGTTTCTTGAAGGCCTAAAACAATCCCCTTCCCCTTCCCCCCCACCTCCCCCCCCCCCCTTCCCCCCCTCCTCCTCCCCCCCCACCTTTCCTCCCTCTCACCGCAGCTCCCCCTTCCGCATCCCCTCATCTGTTCATACCACGTAGCTTGACGACGCTCCGGGGCCGCCAAACTGCGCATCGCGCGGGGTGGAGAAATGAACGTTGTCGTACGTCCGATCCCACTGCTCCCATCTCCGTCCTCCGTTCGCCGCTCCCGTCGATCCAACGGCTGGCGATGCGCCGTACTGCGCCGGCGCGCCGCTGGGAGCTCCGGGAGCTCCCGAACCTGATGGGGAGGTTCGGAGAGGATCCGCGCTGGAAGAGAGAAAGCGGAGTGTCGCGGGAGACGGAAAAGTGAGATATACAACTAAAGTACAGTACAATTCGTTTCTTCGTCTACGTATCGAGGCTCGAGTGAAAGTGTTTTTCTATATGCGACATGCATGCTGACAGCCGATCATACCGTTATAGACGCAAGCATCACTTGTGTATCATGAGTTGTTTAACGCAATGGACTGTTAAGACGGCATTGAGTTACGACGCGCAAGCATTGCTCATCATCATTAGTCGGTTATTTCGTCCGTTACCGATCAAACGCATCCCGGTACCTACGGTTTATCGCGAAAGGAGTCTGCGCGGCTCTCCCAGATGGCTAGTCGCCGTCGCACTCCCCAGCCACCATCCGCCATGGCGACTCTTCGTCCGGCAGCGACGACGCTTTCGCGAAATCCGGCAGTGACGACGCTTTCGCGAAGTCCGGCAGTGACGACGCTTTCGCGAAGTCCGGCAGTGACGACGCTTTCGCGAAGTCCGGCAGTGACGACGCTTTTGCGACGTCCGACAGTGACGACGCTTTCGCGAAAAAACGAGAAACAGACGTCGTCTCCCGAATGACGGCGTGCCGATGACTGGTTAGCCTCTGCACGCTAACGACCAGCTGAATGCCGGTGTGCCGGCTGCGAGATAGGAGAATGTCAGGGAAGTGAGTAAATGACCAGCGTACGGACAGACTAGCGGACTGCAATAAAGCTTCATCACTCTGGGAATCAGCGTCATTGGCCGTCCTCCTAGCCTGATGTTTCCGCGCGGATCTTTGGGAACCGTGCGCGCAACTGGGGGGGAATTGTGGATAAGCATAGGGGGGGCGGGGAGTGGCGCAAGGGGCAATGGGGAACGAGGGAATGAAGCGGAATGAACTGGGGGGAGAGGTCCAAGCGGGGATGCGTGGGACGGAAACGAAGCCACGAGGTATTTCACGAGTGTCTTCCGTCATTTGCCTGTGGAGGACCCCAGCTTGTTCGCAAGAACTTGTTGCCACTAGACGCAAGCTTACGCCCTCATAGAGCTAAGAGTATTCCGTAGCGAGTATTAGACCCGAGGGTTTAGCGGGAGGATCCAAGGTTAGAAAAAATTGCCTCGGGTCTTGTGAAAAACTGACGGTTCCAGCCAGTCAGCTGTCAAACCGAAAAGCTGACAATTTCGCCCAAATTAATGTTCACCAATCATAAACTATAAAATTTCTGGTGGACTCGCAAAGTTCGGCCAGTATAGTCGCAACCCTCCTCTTGCGACAGTTCGCGACTGTGCAGCCGCTTAACTGTCAAGAATATAAAACCCGCAGTTAGGTTGTGACAGCCAGCGGCTCCTTAAGCCGCGGGTCAAATTAGGATCTGACACTCACTCAAGAAAATTCCCTGAGGCACGAGGGAGTCTCTCGTACACGGCCGATATTTACTCTGCAAAATGACTCAGTATTTCTAAATTTTACTCTGAGCTGGCAAAGCTGATAAATTACCAGACTCGTCATATCCTTTTGTGGTTAGAGAAAAGTATAGTTTAGACGAGGAGCAGATAAAAGGGGGGGTGAATGGCACCAGAAGCACTGTGCACGGTTAGCCCTAAATTTCACTCATGACAGCGCAAATCACCTGAATAAATTAGCCCTGCCCGAACAACACTGGACCACGAACTGGAGGAGAAGAGTTCGCAGGATGGTCTCGCATAAATTCTAGGTCTGCGAAAGGCTGCTTGGGCAAACAGTAACCATTCGCGAAGTGGCTACAGTACAGTAATAATGTTGAGGATGTCCAATCAAGCTTCGTCGCTCATGTGTGGGAGTTGATGCTATTTCCTGATTGGCTTGTCGTACGACGTGTCAGCTGCAGGCAGACACGATGTGATTCCTCCGTTCAAGCTGCTGCGTTGTAGGACTAGGTAAGGGGCTGTTCTGTATTAGCGAAGCTTGGTTAGCCAAGGGTCACAGAGACAGCTTCATTTCATTGGAATTCGCCTGCAGGACCGCACAGAATCAAATTGAGCGGCTATTGCGGAAGACGCCAGCTATGTCTTTTGAGAGGTATCAAAGAGGTCGATCCTCGGAAACGGAGACATAAAAAACACTTCCTCCACCTCCCGCAAAATAGATTCTAGGAGATTCCAACTTACTTTGTCCCATGCATGCACTACATTCCATCCAATCCCTCCCTTCCAAGGTAGCCATTCCGTAGTTCCCGCTTCGCTGCCGCGTGTCCCTCTCGTAAAAAAAGCCGACCAACACCGTCACCGCACTGCAGACGTTACCTACCGCATTCCACCCACCAGCCGTTTGAATGTCTGCAGCCCGCATTCAGCGGATCGCTCCAGGGATTCGATCCCTTTTCCGCCCCTCCCCCGCAGAGGCTGTCTATTCCAGACTCCAACTGTCCTGCTCCATAGCGCATCTTACCTCCGCTCCCTTGTCCCCCGCCCTATCCGCCGCCTCCACCGCCGCCTCAGCCGCGGGATCTCCCGCCGCATCTGCCGCCATTCCCGCCGCTCCCGCAGTATCTGCCGCTAGAGTGGGTTTCGCAGAGAGTAGAACCTCCCCCAGTATCAGCTTCCCCTCGTGTCATCCGTCCTCGCGTCCCTCGTCCGCGTTTTTTCAGACGACACCGGCCGTATCGTCCCCGCTTTGCGAAAGCACGGCCGTTACCAGAGACGTTCATCAGTTTCGCGATTCACATCCGTGCTTTTCCGCTCCGAGCCATATCGCCACGTCTGCTCGACGCGACTCCGCGCCTGCAAGCGTTCTCGCGTCTGGAAGCTTCTTCGGACCTTCTAGCTGTTCCGCATCGCAAAGCCGCTTCACCGCGGCGTCTCAAGGGCTCTCCGCGTCTCCTGCTAGAAGCTTCGCGGCAGCGTCGCGGTTCGGGATGGCGGCGCCGACGGAGATCGCGTCCAATAAGATGTTCGGCGGCGTCAACAAGCGCTACGAGCACGAGAGCGCGACGCTCGGGTGCACCATGAAGTTCAGCATCTACTTCCCTCCCGCCGCTGCCTCCACTCGCGTGCCGGTGTGGAAACGAAACGGCCGCGTTCTTTCTTTGATTCCAATTGCCACATCGGGTTAAGCATCTTGTTTAGCGTCCCGGTACAGAAATATCCGCCTCCGTTTATCCTTCCCCTTGTCTTATTCATGCGTGGAACAGTCCTTACCGTCTTGACCCCGCCTTCCAGGTGGTCTTCGTTCTACTGGCTCTCTGGCCTCACCTGTTCGGACGTGCTCTGAGCCGCCATAGCGCTTCCTCTATTGTTTCACCCCCGCCCGTTCCTTCTGTCCCCACGCCCCTTCCCCTCCTCCCCCGCAGGTCATCTACTGGCTGCCCGGCCTCTCCTGCGCGGAGGAGAATTTCATTCAAAGTCGTCTGCCACTGCCAGTATGCCTCTTAGCATCTCCCCCTCCCGGCCCCCCTTCCCCCGCAGGTCATCTACTGGCTCTCAGGTCTCACTTGCCCGGACGAGCATGGATGCTCCCCCTCATCTTCGTTCGCACCCCCTTCCGGGTGTGTTTTGAGTCGACTCAAAACACCCCCTTTCCCTTCCGCGCTTCCCCCCGCACCGCAGGTGATCTACTGGCTCTCAGGTCTCACCTGCACGGACGAGAATTTCATTCAGAAGTCGTTCGCCCAGAAGTACGCCTCGGAGCACGGGGTGGCCCTCATTGTGCCCGACACCTCGCCGCGTAAGCCCTTCCTTTCACTCCCTACTCGCTGCACCTTCCCTACTCGCCGCACCTTCCTCTATTCCCTACTCGTGCACAGTCAAGCACCCCTTTAAGCACGGGGTTGCTCTTATTGTGCCCGGCACGTCGTCCTGTGAGCCCCGCTTTCCTCCATTCCCCCATGTCCCTCTCGCCACATCTTCCCTGAAAGAAAATGACCTCTGAGGTCAAGTATGCTCCAGAGCACCAGGTCTCCCTCATTGTGCCCGACACCTCGCCCTATAGGCTCCTTCTGGCCTGAAACTTTTTGTCTGGCCTTTTTTCGACCCTTTCTCTGCCCTCTTTCCTGCCCGTTTTTCTGCCCTGGCTAGGCTGGTTGAGTGTGGAAGGAGAATCAGACAGTTGGGGTTTCGGCATGGGAGCCGGCTTTTATGTAAACGCCACGGTTCCTAAGTGGAAGAGTTTGCATATGTTGGACTATTTTATGGAGGAGGTACACCCCCTTCAATGATTCTCCCTAGAGACCCTAACCTGTGGCAGAATTTGTCGTTTTCTGTGGTTGTGTTTGTCACGTTCTGCCCACTCCAGGCGGCCTGAAAGTGGAAGGGGAATCGGACAACTGGGATTTCGGAGTGGGAGCCGGCTTTTATGTTAACGCCACAGTTCCTAAGTGGAAGAACTGGCAGATGTACGACTATATAACGGAGGAGCTACACCGGATTTTATCTGCGCACTACACGAATCTGGACATGCAGCGGTGCAGCTTAATGGGGCACTCTATGGGGGGACATGGGGCGCTGATCATCTTCTTCAGAAACGGCTCCAAGTACAAGGTGAGCCTTCCTGACTCAGTTATGTAGCCTAGTGGATTACACGAATATGGGCATGCAGTGGTGCAGCTTAATGGGGCACACTATGGGGGGACGCGGGGTGCTGCTAATCGTCCTTACACTTCGGCTAAGTACAAGGCGAGTCTTCCTGAATAACTTACCAAGTGTTGCCCCCCAACCTCCCTCTCTCTTCCTTTCCTTCCCACCCTCGTGGCCCCTTCCGTTCCCCCCCTTCCCTCCTCGTCTTCCCTCTCCGCAATCCCTCAGTCCGTGTCTGCCTGTGCGCCAACCACCAACCCTACGGAGTGCCCCTGAGAGACTGTGGCCGTCTCTTGTTGGGCTCTTTCCTCTCACCGTCCCTTTTGACCCATCCTCCTGCTTCCCCCCCTCCCCCCCCCCCCCCCTTCCCCCCCTTTCCCCACTCCTTCAGTCCGTGTCCGCCTTTGCGCCCATATGCAACCCCACGGATTGCCCCCTGGGGTCAGAAGGCCTTCTCTTGCTGTCCTCTCCCAATCGCTCTCTCCCCTCCCCCTGGTTCCCTGTCCGGTCCTCCCCGTCTCTCCCTCCCTAACCCTTCAGTCCGTGTCGGCCTTTGCGCCCATATGCAACCCCACGGAGTGCCCCTGGGGCCAGAAGGCCTTTTCGGGATACTTGGGCGATGACAAAGCAGCGTGGGAGGTGAGATGGGAGAGTGGTGGGGTGGGAAGGTCAATGCTGCTTGGGATGGGTCGGCTTGGGAGGTCAGGCAATTGGGCGGTGAGGCGATTGGGAGGGGAGATAGCTGAGAGGTGAGATAGCTGACAGGTGCGATAGCTGATAGGTGAGATAGCTGACTGTGCCGTGACTGTGATAGCTGATAGGTGAGATAGCTGACTGTGCCGTGACTGTGATAGCTGAGAGGGGAGATAACTGACTGTGCTGTAACTGTGATAGCTGACATAGGGCGATTGAGAGGTGGGGGGGCAACATAACTGTGCCCCTCCTGTGCCATGCCCTCTGCCCTCACAATAAGCTGTTTCTTCCCCTCTCCCCTCCTCCCCTCCTCCCCTCTCCCCTCCTCCCCTCTCCCCTCTTCCCCTCCTCCCCTCCTCCCCTCTCCCCTCTTCCCCTCCTCCCCTCCTCCCCTCTCCCCTCTTCCCCTCCTCCCCTCCTCCCCTCTCCCCTCTTCCCTTGGCAGGAATACGACGCTACAGAGCTCGTGAAGCAGTACCCGGGGCCAAAGGTGGACATCCTCATAGACCAGGTACTCCCTTCCTTCTCTCTTGACTCATGGTGTTGGGCGCTCACTTGGGCCTTAACAGTACCCGGGCCGAAGGTGGACATCCTCGTAGACCAGGTACTCCCTTCCTTCTCTCTTGACTCATGGTGTTGGGCGCTCACTCGGGCCTTAACAGTACCCGGGGCCAAAGGTGGACATCCTCATAGACCAGGTACAGGATTGTGCTACATTGCAGTGTTGGGCGCTCGGGCCTTGGTGCGGTGAAGATGAGTTGGGCTTTTGAGAGCTCCCAGAAACCAACTCGGAGTCGCTTGAGATGCAATGCTGGGTGCTTGGGCTTGGGCCTTACTGCAGTGCCCCAGGGCCTGAGGTCGACGTCCTCATAGGCCTAAGGTGCGCTCCTCATAGACCTAAGGTGCGCCCCTCATAGACCTAAGGTGCGCTCCTCATAGACCTCAGGTGCGCTCCTCATAGGCCTAAGATACGCTCCTCATAGGCCTAAGGTGCGCTCCTCACAGGCCTAAGGTACACTCCTCATAGGCCTAAGGTACGCTCCTCATAGGCCTAAGGTGCGCTCCTCATAGGCCTAAGGTGCGCTCCTCACAGGCCTAAGGTACGCTCCTCATAGGCCTAAGGTCGCTCTGTCCTTAATGCTGCTGTGGTAGCGAGAAGCAGCTGCTGCCGGAGAAGGTGTGTGTGGAGGCGGCTCAAGCCCCGATTGTCCTCTCCTTCTCCCTCCTTTTCTCCATTCTCTTATGTAGGGCCACAGTGACAATTTCGACCGCGAGAAGCAGCTGCTGCCGGAGAAGGTGTGTGCAGAGGCGGCTCAAACCCTGATTTTCTCCCCGCCCCTCGCCCTCCCTTTCTCCGTTGTCTTATGTGCCCACAGGGCGACAGTGACAAGTTCTATCACGAGAAGCAGCTGCTGCCAGAGAATTTCCAAAAGGCGTGCACTGAGGCAGGGGTGCCACTCACACTGCGCTTCCAGGGGGGCTACGACCACTCGTACTTCTTCATTGCGTCGTTCATTGGCGACCATATCAAGCACCATGCCAAGGCACTCAAGGCGTGAGGGAGTTTTAGCGTACTGGTATGAGGTGTACTGTATGTATACTGTGACTGTACGCTGTGCTTCCAGGGGGGCTACGACCACTCCTTCATTGGCGACCACATCAAGCATCACACGAAAGCACTGAAGGCATGAAAGCACTCAAGTTGCAAAGCACTCCAGGGGGGCACGATCACGAGGTGCTGTGTATTATGCTCTATTGCATCGTTACATTAGGGATTTCGACAAGCACCGTGCAAATGCATGCGTGCACGGTGGGCCTATAGCATAAATATCATCCAAACCAAGGCGATTGAAGTTATTCCATAGTTTCTACCATTGTGTGTGAGCAGCATGGATATTGTTTTGCAAATATCTACAAACAACATGGCTATAAGATTGTATTTAGGTGTTCCTTTTCCGATTATTTGGCACACCAAGTACGTTGCTGGTTCTGTAATGTACCTTCAGAACTGAAACAGAGCAGATCACTGTCAGCTCCGATCACGGAATGCTCATGGCGGGAATGTCGGTGCGCAGCGCATCACAACACCAGTGCCCACGCAAATGCGTAGAGAGGATGTGAACCTGGACTAGAATTTGCAGAGCAGTTACCCTGCTGTGACTCACGTGAAACCGAAAAGAGTGTACGTCTCACGTGACCAAGAAATCTTTGAACGGACCCCAAACCTTTGTGGAAAATGATGAGGACAGGCAGGAGTGGACAGAGACACGTCGACATCTTGAAGGCGGAATAAATAAATACACACTGTCAGTGTCAACGCACACACAAACGCACACTCAAAACGTTTAGCCATTTTGAAACAAACGTCCCGTCTTGGGCTCCTCGAAATCACCTGTGGGGCCTCTTGGGACTATTTTCACTTCAGGGAACTGTCTCCATCTTTTGGGGTCGTTTTCATGTGTCCTCCATTCCATCTTGCGATCATCTCATGGGCTCATTGAGAATCTCCGACGCGGACTCCTTCGCAAGAATGTCCCGTCTTCAATTACCTTCACAGAAGTCGACCGATGAGTCATTCGTATTTCGGCAGCTAGAGCCACCACTTCTGGAACATATTTTCGCCTTAACACCGTGATCGTGTCCATCGTACGGCTCACCCGCAGTTTACCGCCAGTAGCGTGCTACTAGAAGCATCGCGACGAGGCTGGCCGATCCACAGGCTAAAGCTTGCCTCGTGCCTATCGATCACGAGTACATCTTGCCGCTTCCTGCCACGAGTGCTAACCGTCTGCCTCCTCACGGGTCTGCTCCACAAAAGTTTTCCCTGATTTCAGCTCCAGTGAAGTTACTCTCAGATAGAACAGAAGTTTCCCGTAATGCGCGATATGGCAGCAGCTTCCTCTTGGGAGTCCGGACTCACATCGTGTGCCTCCAAGCGTGTTTCGCTAGTATACGTGGCTCTGTTCGCGTTAGTGGTGGTCCCGTTACTGCTCTTCTTCGTCCTCGCGGACTCGCGGACGCTGTATGCTGATACAGCGAGCCTGCATTTTTGGCTCGGCCCGGTTTCCGTGGCCGGCGGCGCCGGATCCGGTCAGCAGTCCCTGAACGCGAAAGATCAGGGTGTATCAAACGCTGACGTGGTTACTGATAGCAATAGCAGCCAAGACCGGTGCCGAAGTCCGGAAACGGCGATAGCAACGTCAGCAGACACGTCAGCAGAGCCCGATCCGGTCTGTTGGTGGTCGGGCGACTATGGCGGGTACGGCGGCGGGGAATCCGGCTCGTCCGACACCAGCGGGGGGAGTATGAACGCTCAAACGAACAGCCGGCGGAGAAGGAGGGGAGGAGGACGCTTAGGAGGCGTGTCGGTCTTCGGCGGGGGTTGTTCGCGGTGCACGGTGGGCGAGCTGTGCGCGTTCGAGATCGCCATCAGAGCGCCGGCCAAGTGGGTGGCCGTCCAAGCAAAGCCGAGCCAGACACGCGCCAGGAAGGCGCGCCCTAAACCGGCGGCTCGACGCGCCCTGAGCTCGCGTGTGTTTGAAGCTACTGATGGAGGATTCAACGGATCCAGGAGTAGCGGCGGCAGCGGCCGGTCCCTAAGAGTGACTGGTTCTGGTTCTGATAGCGCCGGCAATAGTGGCGACGTCGGCAGTAGTGGCAGCGCCAGCAGGAGCAGCAGCAGCAGCAGCAGGCGTATTGGAATTGGCGGGTTCCGGGAGTCGCTGGTGGTGCGGCTGGTGGGGCCTGCGTTGGCTGTAGCGGATGTGACTACAGAGGAGGGTGACGTCACGCGATGGCGAGTGACGTACCGAGTGTGGGACGCAGGTAACTACAGGTGAGGCTGGCGGCGGGGGAAGGGGAAGGGGCAAGGGGAAAGGGGAAAGGGGAAGGGGGAAGGGGGAAGGGGAGAGCGAGGGGAGGGGAAGGGGTAGGGGTGGAAAAAGCAGGGAGGTGGGCGGAGAAGGGTTGACAGGCCCCATTCGTGCTGACTATTTTGTCCTTTTCTCCCGTTGCTCAGGTCCCGTTGCTCAGGTCACGAGCCCCACCATGTTCACATAAGGAAGATGAAACCGCCGGTTGACTTGCGTGTTGCTCAGGTCCCGTTGCACAGGTCCCGTTGCAAACATCCTCGTCCACGTTGCAACCTGTAAACTCTCTCTTTAAAGCCACCTCGCCTGGCAGCCAAACTAATTCCCCTGTGTCCCCAAATTTCACGTCCGTGTTGAAACTCCCTCCCTCAAGCCACCTCACCTATAAAAAAACCATGCGTGAGGAGTCTATTTTTGAGGCGCCTCAAAAATAGACTCCTCACCTGACTGCCAATCTAATTCCTTCCCCCCTCCCCTCCTCTCCTCCCATCCCCGCCTCTCTCCCTCTCTGCCTCCTTCCCTCCCTCCTGCTTCCACCCTCCCCCTCTCACATTCCCACCAACCTCCCTTCTCCCATCTCCCTCTTCTTGCCCCCCCTCCCCTCACCTCCCCCCCCCCCCAATTCCCTTCCGGTCCAGCGTTCTGGTCCAATCAGAGTGCGACACGTTGGACTTTGCTCCCGACTTCTTGGAGCGAGCGAACAGCACTAGATCCCATGTCATGGCCGAGTGGGTCCTCACTGTCCTCCCATCCACCGATCCAGTGACCAAACCAGCTACCGAACCATCCACTGAACCAGCCATCGAGCCAGCTACCGAGTATGCAATGGACGGTCCAGATTCGCCCTGCGACCACTCCATCCACGCCCGGTGGCTCTTCCACCCCAAGGAACGCGCATACACGTGGCAGTTCTACCCCTGCGCGCACCCGGTCCCCCCTCAAGAGCTCTGGCTCTCCGCCCTCCAATCCCGGGGCATTACCGAGATGAACTTCGTCGGGGACTCGCACGTGCGGTTCTTATTTCACCACCTCTTCTTCCTCCTCACTGGAAAGGCCAATGCCTCCACTGTCTCATTCCACGGAGACATCCGATTGGTCGTGCCGCCCCCCACGCCGAACCTGCAGCCATTAAAGCTCAATTTTTACTGGATCGGAGGAATTTTTGTCGACGGGCCTTTTGGCTGCATGTGAGTTGTGTCACGTTTGAGCTAGGGTTGATTCATCCTCGTCATGATTTGCGCTCCTCTTTTATGTAGCCTTGTTTTTCTCCCTGTCCGATTTCCGTTTGCTACACGTCGCTGATTTATTATATGGCCTCGAATTGTGTGATTTTCGAATCCTTGTCACATTCAACGTGCATGCTCTTCCCCCCTTACCCCCTACATTCAATTCGAGCATGCATGATTGAGCATACATTCCACAGAGCCTTTTAGGCCGCTACACTCCCTTAAATGACCGTCTTTGGCAGCAACAAGCACTTCCGGGCCCTCAAGGGCTCAAAATCCCAGACATTTCCGCCACAGCTCAAGTCCTGTAGATTCAAACTTTCTGAGTTTCATCACATTTCTTCCTATACTCCCCTCCATTACCATCCCGGTGCAGCGGCAAGCACATCTGGCCCTTTCAGCAGCTCGCCTTCCCGGAAATTTCCCCCACGGCGCAGGTGACGCTGGTGGACAGTGGCTTTTAGACCGCCACATTCTGTGACGAGCCCGAGAACGCCTTCAAGTAACACCTTCTGAGGCGACTCAGAAGCAACGCTTCACATGCCGTCCTAACTTGCTGCCATCCTAACTCGCTGCATATGCCTGCTATCCCCTCCCCCCCCCCCCCCCCCCCCCGCCCCCTTCTCCCTCTTCTTGCAGCAACAAGCACATCTGGGCCCTCCAAAAGCTTAGCTTCCCAGAAATCTCCATCAGGGCGCAGGTGACGCTGGTGGACGGAGTGTTCTGGAGTTTCCTTACCCTTCCCACAACACACTCCCCCCCTTCATTCTTGTCACCATGCGCAGCAACAAGCACGTCTGGGCGCTTCAAAAGATCAACTTCCCAGAGATCTCCCCCACGGCGCAGGTGACGCTGGTGGACGGTGGCTTCTGGACCGCCACTTTCTGTGACGAGCCCGAGAACGCGTTCGGGTATTATCTGCCTAACTTCCTGCAATGGGTTTGGTCCAGGGTGGAACTGGCACGGCAGGCGCACCAGCAGCAGCAGCAGCAACAGCAACAGCAACAGCAACAGCAGGAGCAACAGCAGCAGCAGCAGCAGCAGCAGCAGCGGGGACTACAAACTCGGAAGCTGCAGGAGCAGCCGTTGCAGGGGCAGCAATCGGCAGCACAAATACGGAGGCTGCAGCAGCAGGGGGGTAATCAGCCACAGGAGGTTGAGCCAGAGGCAGCAGCAGCAACACCACCGCCAGCCAAGGCCCCCTGGTTCTTATACCGAAGCATCCCTCCCAAGCGGCTCAACGACTATTGTGATGTCGGAACAAATGCGCTCATTTCGCATATGAATAATGTTGCCGCTGGACATTTAGGGCGCTACGGGCTGCCGTTTTTCAATGACTGGCTGATTGCAGCGCCGAGACCCGATGATACGTGCGGGCACCAGGATGTGCACTACACCTGCTTCTCTAAGGCCCGGAAAGGTAGGGATACAACGACGGAGGGGAACTATAATGGCCCTGTGGGAGAGGCGATGGTGTGGAATTTTATATATCATCTCGTGTACATGCTTGATTAAAATGTTGAACTAACGCCTGTTAAGTTCAGCATTGAGATTGTAGTTCAGGCAATTATTGTCTGTACATGAGAAGTTCATCAAGATCTGGCATGCACATATATATGGGCTTTAAGGAGATTCCACGAGGAAACAAGGCCCCCTTTCCCACACCGATCTGCTTGCATGTAAACAAGGAACTCACAACTATCCTTGCACTTCAGTTCAGATACACTAAAGTGCAATTTAGTCGAATATCAACAGAACGATACTCCCGGAATAGCGGAATGAACTAGGACGGAGAGATACAAGGGAATATATGGTTGGGTGTTCTACTCTCTATGAGCACGAACCCTTCTAGCCTATAGTTGATGCATATGCATACATATAAATTGACACACCCCCTAGGCTAGACAAGGGCCAGTGCCTAGCGAGAGACATGCAGCTCAGGGCAGCACTACTAGTCCAACCTCTGAGGCAAGGGCCTAAAGACCAGTCAGCAAGAGTACAAGCTAAACAAGAATAACCCAAGGCAGCACTACTAGTCCAGCCACAAGGCCAGTCAGTATAACATAAGTACTAGTCCACAATCAGGGTCCTAGCAAGTGAGGAGCTACCGGAACTAGATCAAGCTGTACATACTGACGCTGATGATCTTTACGCGCAAGCGTCCTAGTAAAGATATCAGCTGTCTTGGCACCTGAGGCCAAATGTACTACGCGGGTCTGGCGACGGTGCTATAGCTCGCGCAGGAGGAAGTACCGCAGCTGGATGTGCTTCGCTCTGCCCTCTAGTCGAGACTCCTGACACAGGAGGATCATGACCCTGTTGTCAGCGTTAAGGACATGAAGCGAGCTAGACCGCTCACCTAAGTCTGTGAGCAAGAAGGTCAGCCAGCGGAGCTCATCTGCCGCCATGGCACCAGCGTAGATCTCAGCCTCACAGCTGGAATGGGCAACAAACAACGAGCGGGTGGACCTCCACGAGATTGCGCCTGCACCAAGGCTAAAGCAGTAGCCCTGGGAGGACCTAAGCGTCTCAACGCCGTCCGCCCACGAGGCGTCTGTGTGCCCTGTAAGAACCATTGACTTGCATCCTCCCAGCACTAGCCCCATGCCCAATGTACTTGCTAGATAACACAAAATCCTCTTAGCGGCCGACCAATGCTGTGGTCGGTGTCTCCAACTGGCCACAAAGCGAGTCAGGATACTAAGGGGGTATGCGAGATCTAGACGAATGCAAGTCATCAGGTACATGAGGCAGCCCACAAGCTCTGCGAACGGTCCACTGGCTCAACCGACTCGGCAGGCACAAGATTAGAGAGCCTGTGGTCTACTGGCAGAGGTGTAGGCTGTGCAGAGGAGAAATGAAGACCAAACCTCTGAAAGACCTGGCGCTCCAAGTGTGACTGTGTGAGAGTGATGGTGCACGCTGCTGTGTTCCTGGAGATTTGCAGGCCAAGGTAGCGGCGCAGCTCTACTAGGTCAGCGCAGGTAAGGGCTCTCGATTCAAGGGTAAACATCCGGAATGTCTGGTACATTCCGGGTCTTTCCCGCTGAAATCCTGATTTTGAGGGTTTCGGACTCACAAACCTCCTGACTGATGCCAGGCGTTTCCAAGGAACGCCCTGAGCAATCCGGATTGCACGAAAATTTATCCTGGCTATCTGACTGGCATAGAAACTACCCCTACTAAAATTGCAAACCTACCCCCCCCCCCCCCCCCCCCCTCCCCCGAATTCCTTCGCAACTCTGACCAATTTTCCACGCAATCTGAAGGTGCGACCCATGGAACTTTCACAACTACCTAAGTGCAGGGCTGTCAGACTTATCACAACCCCTTAATATCACCTTAGCCAGATTGCACACTGTCCTTCTAAGTTGTACGCATTTCTGTCGCGATTGACAAGGAAAGTGTCGAACTTGGTGTGTTGGTGAGGGACAGAAGTAGCAGCAAGTGTGTGCTCTGTATTCTTCTCCATCGTTTCTTCCATCGATGTCCTTGCTGCTTGTACTCAAAGTGCCCACTGGTTCCACGAGTCCCAAAAAACACTATGAAATTCAAATTGACAGGTCAAAGTAATCCTGGAATAAAGAGGGATTTTACAGGGAATGCTGAATTTTCAGGGTCTTTAGTGACGCGAATCCTAAGGTCGTTGGGTTTTGAAAAATGAAAAATTAGCCTTCGTGCAGGTGTGTCTCCTCAGGAGCTCAGCCTTCACGGAGGCCAGTGCGTCTCTGTCTGCAGTAGCGAAGACCAGGTCGTCTACATAGACTGGGATGTAGAACGGAGTCTGGCCTGAGCGAACAAAGAGCGAAGGGTCAGCAGAGGACGGGAAGAACTGCTGGTCTTCTAACGTAGCATGCAACGTGTCGTGCCACTCATGGGGCGCTTGACGCACGCCGTAAACTGGGCGCTGGAGGAGCCATTCGGTCCCAGGACAGAAAGTGCCAGAGAAGCCTGGCGGTCGGCGTAGGTAGACCTGCTCGTGCAGACTACCCTGGAGGAACGCAGTGGAGAAGTGGAGAGAGATAACATTCAACATGAAATCGTGCACAGTACTCTTGCATACGTTCAAATACTTCGCGATTTTCCTAGTGCTCACCCCCTTATGCAAAAGCGTGGGTCCAGGAAGAGTGCGAGAAGATCCCTGTAAAGGTTTGCACTAACCTCGTAGATAACATGCCTAGGAGGGTTTAGGTGGTGATCAAGGCCAAGTGTCGGTTGACTAGGCACTAGTTTTGCTAGTAACTAGTTTGCTGCCTGTCCCCGGTACAAATTGTCCGGATGTGCTGTTATTAAATGTTGTCATCTTGAAAGGACCATGAAATATACTACTCTGGTTTTAGGAGATTTGAGAGAGTGCTCTAACTGCTCCTCTCTACGTGTATGGCCACCATGAATTAAGGCTTAATGTTTATAGCGTACAGCTCGTCAAAATATAAAAATATGCTAAACATGTAGACAATTGTTTCCGCCACTGTACTTTGGAAGTATAAAAGCGTCTTGTATCAATCGATAGTGCAACCTTTCCTCGACACATTCGATCCTGTGACACCCAGAGTCAGCAAATTCCTCCGCCGGGGCAACCGAGGGAAGGGGAGTGACGTGAGACACACTAGACGGGGCAAGACGGGGAGTGGGAGCTACCGGGGGAGTGGGGACAAGGAACAAGGGTGGGGTGACCGGGGGACCTCGATGGGAAAAGCGGATGTCGAAGGAGATAGACTCCTCAAATGTGACGTTACGCGAGTGAAAGATGCGGTGAGACGACGGGTGATAAAAGTGCCAGTCAAACGCGTCAAGGGGGGAAGCCATGTAAGCCACAAGGGACGGTGCGGGCAGTGGGCTTGTTCGCGCTAGAGGCGCGAACGTGAGCTAGGGAGCCCTTGATGTGGAATGCAGATGCGTCACCAGGGGACCCGGTCCAGAGGAGGGTCAGCAAAACATGCGGCTGCTGGGAGTGTGGCCACAGGTTAAGCTAGTGAGTGGCGTAGCGAACAACGAACGGCCACAGAAAATGGGGAGCACCGGCATGGATCATGGAGGTACTAGCCACCTCTATGAGCTTACCATCGAAGTGGATGGCAAGGGACTGGCCATCCTGGCGCTGACCGTTCAGCTGGCGGCGAAGGTCGGCGAGCCACGCCTTAAAATCGACCGCCCAACCCTTCGCGTCTAGGCGGAGCACCGCGTCCGCCATCACCACAGCTTCAGCAGCTGACGACCATGAGAGGAGGAGGAGGAGGGGTAAAGGTTGGGTCGGCGAAGAGCGGTAGGAAGGACAGCCGGCAGAATCGCCGTCTCAGAGCGGAACCAGAGACGGCGAAGACGAGGGGCCGCTAGGTTGGGGCGGCACAGCGACACGGCGAGATGGGGCCGGCGACCAGGCAGGCGGCTCGTCTAGCAGAGGCCGGCTGCGGGGCGGCGGCGAACTGGGGCCGGCACGTGCTGGGGTCGGCGAGCAGGGGCTGGCTGGAGCTGGGGCCGGCGAGCGCAGGGCCGGTGAGCAGGGGCCGGCAGGAGCTGGGGCCGGCGAGAAAGGGCCGGCGGGAGCTAGGGCCGGCGAGCAGGGGGACGGTGCGGGTCGGGACCGGTGAGCGAAGGGGCCGGCGAGCGCGGGGCCGACGAGCGCGGGGCTAGCGGGCGAGGGATCGGCGAGCGAGGGGCCGGCGAGCAAGGGGCCGGCGAGCGCGGGGCCGGCGGAGGGGCCGATGAGCGCGGGGCCGGCGAGCGAGAGGCCGGCTAGTGCTGGGCCGGCGAGCAAGGGGCTGGCGAGCGCAGGGCGGGCGCGCGATGAGCCGGGGAGCGCGGGGGCGGGGAGATAGGGGCCGGCGCACGAGGGGCTAGCGGCAGGCAAGGAGCCGCGCAGCTCGCTAGGTGACACGCGGCGCGGGCTAGGGCGGGCGCGGCGCCGGCTAGGGCAACTAGGGCGGGTTAGGGCGGCTAGGGTGGGCTGGGGCGGAAGCACGGGCGGGCGGACCTTATCTAGCTGATACCATCTCAGAGTAGCGGAATGAACTAGAATGGAGAGATACAAGGGAATATATGGTTGGGTGTTGTACTCTCTATGAGCATGAACCCTTCTAGCCTATAAATGCAACATATGCATATATGTATAAGTTGACAGATACGATGTAACAGTTTGATGAAGGTAGTATTGTGCATTACATCACACAAAATAAAGAGGAGCAGAACTTCTAGCTAGGGATCTCGTCAGAGAATGGAGGTTAGGCGGGCAAAAGGGCTTGGTTATGTAGCAAGGAGAGGTTTGGAGGCAGGGGTGAGGTGGAGAAAGGGCACGGTATCAGAAGAGGCTCTGTTATGTGCAGCTTTGGTTAGTGACCTGAACGAAGCGATTCGTTATCAGCATGTCCCTAGCACGCACCAGCATGCTAACATGCAACAGACGTTTTGAACTTTAACCCTTTCTTGCACGCAACAGTGCTTGCAAAGAAGAGGGTAACACATGATTGATCGGCTTGATAAGCGTACCTGCCAACAACCAACAAGGAGAACACTGTAAACCTTCGAAACGTCAATGCAGAACACATGCGCGTATAAAGAGCGTGACAATGGAAGCAGAGGGGCCAAAAATGTACCTTGCTAATAAGAGGGTTTAACCAAAGTGCGGGGAATTTACCTTCCATAACGAGAGGTGGGGGCGAGCATGGTTCCTCTCTCTGAGTTCTTCACACAGGCGTCGTAGTCCCCCTCATCCCCTCCATTGTACAGATACACGTTCGCCTTGCTGGTCCATTTGAACACTGCAATTTTGGGGAGTGAAGAGCGGAACACAAAAAAGGCAGAGTGCATCACCTTATGTGGAGGGAGACTGTACCAAAAATGAAAATGCTGTATCAAGTAAGCCCCAACTGCATTTATGATATGCTTGGGTGTGGCACGGGATGGGTATTGTGCGGTATGGGTGTCATGTGGTATGGGTGTCATGTGGTATGGGTGTCATGTGGTATGGGTGTCATGTGGTATGGGATTTATGTGGTATGGGTGTCATGTGGTATGGGATTTATGTGGTATGGTTGTCATGTGGTATGGGTGTCATGTGGTATGGGTGTGGTACGGGATGGGATGGGTGTGGAGCTGGTCATAGGGTAGCAGCTTTTGCATGGAGACACGGAGCGGCATGGTTGCAATGACACTGGTGATGCCCCTTCTCATGGCATGTCATGGCATGTCATGGCATGTCATGGCATGTCATGGCATGTCATGGCATGTCATGGCATGTCATGGCATGTCATGGCATGTCATGGCATGTCATGGCATGTCATGGCATGGCATGTCATGGTATGTCGACCGTCTGTTGTACAGCTGATAGACACTCCATCACGATCAGCCCTTATCTACAGCTTCTCCAGCCGGGTGCTTTTGAGAATTCTCAAAAACACCTTGCAATGCCAACGGTTCGTGCAGCCGATGGGCACTCCATCAGCGTTATCCAGCTGGTTCAAAAGTGGTTTGAGTCGACTCAAACCACATCATGCCATCACTTCATACCCAGCCATCACTTCTTGCTTTTGATGACATGACGTGGTTGAGTCGACACTCAAACCAGTTTGTATCAACTCAAACCAGTTTCTATCAACTCAAACCAGTTTGTGTCAACTCAAAACCATCTTATCCAGTTTGATGACGGCCTTGGATTTCTTCCGAAACCTTCCACCGTCCGCGAAGCCGCCCTTGAGCCAACTCAATCGCCACCTCACACCACACCGCCATCAGTCAGCCCTTACCCAGGTGGTTTTTGAATCGACTCAATAGCGACCTCACACCACACACACCACCATCAGTCAGTCCTTACCCAGTTTGTCGCCGACTTTGATTTCTTCAGGCACCTTCCACCTCTTGAGGAAGCCCACGCTCCACGGGTTCCAGTTCTTAGGCGTCCACGTGCCAGGCTTCAGTAGCTTCATGCCACCCCCGACATGGTATGTCTTAGCCTGCACGCACCAGCGTAATGGGTAGGGACATTAAGACAGTCGAGCCCCCACGGGCTCCAGTTCTTAGGCGTCCATGTGCCCGGCTCTGGCAGCTTCATGCCGCCCCCGACATGGTATGTCTTCGTCTGCATGGGTAGGGACGACAGGGAGAACAGGACACTGGACCGTTGTTTGGTCAATTACAAGTGGTGGGGGGGGGGAGGAAGGGGAGAGGGGAAGAAGGGGGGAAAGGGGGGGGGGGGGGAGGGATGAAGGGGAGGGGTGTGCGGGGAGAGGAGGGGGGAGGGCGAGTTTGGAACAGGGCCATTGTGACCTAATAATTACCCTCAAGCAAAGAAATCAGAACACCTCTCGTTAGTCCTTATTGGCAAAACTGCAAGCCGCCGTGGGGACGACTGTTAACGACTAGGAAACCGTTCACGAACTCGGTAACTAGGACATATTTTTAGCAGTAGTACTGCGTAGCTGGGTAGCTGCCGAAGGTACTGCGGGAGAGCAACTCGGAAATGCTCTATCGCTCGGATCGACGTGAGACGGTGGGAGACTTTCTCGGCGAGAGACTCTCTCGGTGAGAGACTCTCTCGGTGAGAGACTCTCTCGGTGAGAGACTCTCTCGGTGAGAGACTCTCTCGGAGAAGAAGGCTCGGAGAAGAAGGTTTCGTTTTTGCATGTTGCTTTTTCAGTCGACTCAACAGTCAGCCTTGTGGTTCAAAGCTTTGTGTGTGCGTTGTTTGCTTCGCTTACCTGTGCTGGTAGTAGGGCTGCTGCAGCAGCGCCGCACACGTCAGCTCACACGTCAGGGAGCAACCCGTAAGGATCGAAACGCCGTGTTATGACGCCGCGTTATGCCCGCGGAGGGGCAAAGCGGTTAAGGGGGAGGAAAGAGGAAGTGGGCAGGAGGAAAGAGGAGATTCGGGGGGGATCAAATCGATGCCGGAGGAAGACAGGAGAGGGAAGGGGGAGCGCAAACAAGTCGAAACAAGTCACAATACGTCCCAATACCTCACGATACGTCACGATACGTCACGCTACGTCACGCTACGTCGCAACGCCACCACGACGGGGGCAAAGCGGAGAGGGGAAGGTGAAACTGGAACAGAGGACATGCAATTTTTAACCTGGGCACTTCAAGTTCGGTCTGAATGAATTCGATTAGCGGCTGAAGTAAATCGCGTCGGATTTACAGTGGCCAATTCTTGAAGAAATCACCGTCAGTGGAAAGAAAGAAGCTATTTGCTTCGGTCACGTACCGGCGAGGGCGAGAGCGGCGAGGCAAAACGAGAGCGCGGCCCGACGACGCGACGTCATGGCTACGCCCATCTTTCCTGTCCCTTTCTTCGCACCGCTTTAAAGCCCAAGCTGTGCAGTTGCCTCACGCTACTCTCTAATCTCAGCGGCAGTCTTGCGCTGCTGTATGTGCGGAGCCGCCGGCACCAGTATGTGATATATGTGTTTTTTTAGTCGACTCAAACCACACCAGTGTGTTTTTTTATATATGTGCTTTGAAGCCGTGGTGTTGCGTTGCTTCGAAAGAGATACGCCGCCGGCGCCACCGTCAGTTATTGACAGGCCTAACTGCACCGAGCTGCAAGCTAACAAGGGTGCTCAATTACAGTACAACTAGCAGGCAGCGTCAGATACATGATGAGTGAAAATCCTCGAAAGTGTTGGATGGGGGGAGCGGAACACGCGTGCTGGAGAACAGCAACTGCTTTCGAAAGAACGACCGCGAGAACATGAGGAGGAGATGCGGAGAAAAAGACGGCCGAAAGTGAATCGGGCTCGTGTCAGCGGCGGTAGGGGGGTTCGTTGTTAGGCAGGGGTGTTGAGCGCCGAGTGTAGGAGAGTTCAGGCTTGCCATGAGAGTTCACTTCCATGCGGTTAAGCTAGGTCCCCCACGTTTTACATATATTTCAGAATGGTTGGGTAGGGTTAAACTTGGAAATCAAAGGCCCTTCGAGAGTAGTTGAGAAAGGGAAGCAACAAACCACAAGAAGGGACGTGCGTGAGTGGAAATGCCGCGCCGCCACTACAAACCGCGCCGTGAGAAGAGACCCGGTTTGGTCCGGTAGTTGGGATGCCTGGCTGCGCGAACCACACTTCCGTACTACAGATCAGCGTAACGCCCCGCACCGTACTAAAGAGACCTCCTGAGCTGTTTGGTAAGAATTTGGTACTGGCTCGGAAAGTGGAGAGGCTCGTTCGGAAGGAAACGTGGCGCGGTGAGGGTGGACGAGGAGGTGGTGCCAGGGGGAGTGCCACTGGTTCGGAAGAGGTTCGAGGAGAACGCCCCTCCAGGGAGCCCAGAACAGAGCTTACCTTTGGGTTTTTGCTCACACTGCAGATCTGGGTACCCCTCATGGGAAACCCGGATCTCACGGGTGTACCTTAAAAGTCACACGTCAGAATGGGTGGGAACAAAAACAGCGCGTCAGATCCGGGAGATTTTCGTAGCGTCAAAATGTTCCAGTTCAAAGGTTTTGTGTGTCGAAACATACAGACATCACTTATGTAAACTCATGCTTCTGTTCTCACTCTTATGAACCGCCATCAAATTTAAGGTAATTTCGTGTTTATTGCGAGGGGAAAGGGAGGTGGCGAGGGGGGCTGGGAGGGATGCGGGGGAAAAGGGGGAGGGTGGGGGGGGGATTGAGGAGTGGGGGGTAGGGAGGTTTTTTAGAGCTAAGACCCGTTTGTGCCAGAGGCTCACCCGTCAAATCAAGGTACTTCGCGAACGAACACATCACTTCACGGGTACTGCTAAAAACGAACCCGTCAGAATCCGTAATGGGTCGGAAAATCACCCCTTATTTTGCAAAAATCCGGAAAGCTGCCCGTGAAAAATAAGCCCTGGCCCAGAATCCAGCATAGGTACGGAGGTAGCGCCTGGTGGTGAACCTGCTCTTGCTGACAGAGCACTCCTTGGTGGTAACGGAGAGACCACCAATGTTATGATTTAGAAAATGTCAATGTACTAGAACGTGAGAATACAATGTCACTATTGCCATGAAAGCACGAGGTTATATAGGAGTGGACGTAATAGGGCGATAACCTCGGGACGTGGTTAGGTTCGGCAATGTGGCGACGCTGTCGGGCGCGACTCGAGAAAGGGTTGGGCCGAAAATGTAGGCCGAACGTGACGAGTTGAAGTGTTCGGGTGTACGCGGTAGCGGCCGACTCAGTAAGGAATGGAAATTCCTTACACTACCCCCCCCCCTCCTAAACGAGGCCGTGGGCATCGGGGACATGCCGACGCTGGTAATATGCCGTTAGAATCGGATGTGATTCTAGGTCAGCAAGGGGCACCCAACTGTCGTCTTCGGACGTGCGATCGCGCCAGCGGATGAGGAAATCAACCATCTGACGGTTCAGCTGCGTGGTGATGCGATGGCCGAGAATTTTCAAGGGCTCGGTCGTCGGTTCCTGCAAAGGCGTCAGTTGCGGTACTCCACGGTTGCGTGCCAAGTCCGACGAACTCGGGACGTAGGGTCGAAGAAGACTGACGTGAAAAGCCGGGTGATGGCGCCAATCAGCCGGTAGCCGAAGGTGTACAGTGACAGGTGTCACGAGGTTGATCACTTGAAAAGGTCCGCAGAATCTTGGTCGGAGTTTGCTCGGGATCGGCAGCCGCAAATTGCGAGTGTCGAGGCGGACCAGATCGCCCACTTTGTAATTGACGTCGCGTCGATGTCGATCGGCTTGTCGGCTTGCAACTAGGTTAGCTTTCCGAATGGCCTCAGCTGCTTTTTCGCGAGTGGCGAGAATGTCTTCAGCAAATTTATGGGACCGGGGCACTGGTGACTCGATGTTCGGTGTGGAGGGTACTACCGGGTCCTGTCCGTAGTTGAGGAAAAATGGGGAGTGAGTGGTTGTAGCTGAGGTCGCGTTATTATACGCGAATTCGAGTAGCGGTAGAGATTTCTCCCATGTCGAGGGGTCAGTACAGGTAGTGCGAATGAGCTGCTCCATCGTTTGGTTAACGCGTTCGGTCTGCCCGTCGGTTTGTGGGTGGTAGGCGGATGAAAATTGGAGTTTGGTGCCGAACTGGTCCCACAGGTGCCGCCAGAATTTCGATGTGAATTTTGGGTCGCGGTCCGAAATGATGGCGGAGGGCAGTCCGTGCAGTCGTATGACGTTCGCAATGAACAGTTGCGCAGTTTGTTCGGCAGTGATTGTCTGTTGGCAGGCGATGAAGTGCGCCATTTTTGTGAGTCGGTCAACGACCACAAGGATGGCGTCGTTTCCGCTGGGGCCGGCCGGCAGTCCTGTCACGTAGTCCATCGTGACGTGTTGCCAGGGTCGCTCGGGTGGATCCAATGGCTGTAGTAGTCCGGCTGCTCGCTGATGCGACGATTTCATGATCTGGCAGGCAGTGCAGGAGGACACGTACTTGCGCACGTCATCGGCCATGTTCGGCCAGTAATAATTCCGCTGCAGCATCTTTGTGGTTTTATCGACGCCGAAATGTCCTGAGGTAGGGTTGTCGTGGGATTCCTGGATTAGGAGGGTACGAAGTAAATCGTAGCCGGGTACCCAAATGCGAGAAGTGCCGTGCTTATAAAAATATGGCTCGGTGGCTGTGGTATGCTGTTGATGGATGGCTGAGCGGAAAAAGGGATCAATCTTGTAGCCGTGGGTGAATAGTCCCGTAAGTAATGGGTTGGTCTGGGCGATTAGTATCGCGGCGGTATGGACTGTAGGGCGGGTCAAGACATCGGCGATATTATTGGCACCCCGTTTGTTGGTGATGGTGTAGTGGAAGTTGGACTCGAGGAAATCGAGCCATCGAATCTGTCGTGGGTTGAGATTCGGTTGGGCGCGCAGGTACTGTAAGGATTTGTGGTCCGTCCGCACCGTGACGTCAGCTCCGGTCAGGTAGCACCGCCAGGTCTTAAACGCGTGGACGATCGCCATCATCTCCTTGTCGTGCACTGTATAGTTTTTCTCCGCGCCTTGCAGCTTCCGTGATTCGTAGGCGACCGGTTGTAACCCGTCGCCAAAATCCTGTAGTAGAACTGCACCGATGGCGATGTCGCTGGCGTCGGTGACGACTTCGTATGGACGGTTGGGATCGGAGATGCGAAGTACGGGCGGGGACGTGAGGGCGATTTTGAGTTGGTCGAATGCAGTTTGCTGCTTCTCACCCCACCAAAAACAATCGCGATCCTTCAATCGGTCCGTTAGTGGTGCAGATAACCCTGCCATATTGGGGATAAAGCGGCGGACGTAGTAGACAAAACCCAGAAAACTTTGGAGTTCTTTGAGGTTGGTCGGCGGCTTCCATTCCTGTATGGTCTTGATTTTCCTGGGGTCGATTTTCACGCCTTCGGTGGAGACGACGTGTCCCAAAAACTCCAACTCTTGCTTAAGAAAATCGCACTTAGACCCTTTCGTGATGAGCCGATTCTTGTGCAGCAGCGTGAAGACCGCATCAAGATCCTTTAAGTGCTGCTCCCTGCTGCGGCTGTAGATTAGGATGTCGTCGAGGTAGATAATTACGCATTTATCCAGGAGTTCGCGGAAGACACCGTTCATGGTCATCTGAAAAGTCGAGGGCGCGTTCGTCAGCCCGAAAGGCATCACCAAGTATTCGTAACTACCGTAGCGGGTTCGGAAGGCGGTCTTGTGGCAATCCTCGGTGGCGACGTGAATCTGGTGGTAACCTCCGCGCAGATCGATTTTCGAGAAGAATTTGGCTCCGCGAAGTTGGTCGAGTAGGTCGTCGGCGCGCGGGATCGGGTAACGGGACTTGATGGTGATGCGGTTCAGTGCGCGGTAGTCGATGCACATACGGAATCCGCCATCTTTTTTCGGTGTGAACAGTATGGGGGCGGCGTATGGGGATGTGCTTGGGCGGATAAAACCTTTCGTCAGAAGGTAATCCAACTGCTGCTGTAATTCCTCGAGTTCCGGTTGGCTGAGCCGAAATTGTCGCTATACTGTCGGTTGTGCGCCTGGTTCTAGTTCGATGCGGTGGTCTTCGGGTCGGCTTGGGGGAAGTCCGGCGGGTAGGTCGTCCGGGAAAATCTCGGGGTATCTTCGAATGAGTTCCGCTAAATCCGGAGGGACGGCTTCACACAGCTTCGTGATATCTTCCGCTGTTATCGGCGACGTCACTTCGCGAAGATCGACGGCGTATGCTGCTGCTCCCGCTTTTATCGCGCGCTTGAAGGTGATCGCGTGGACTTGGGTGCTTCGCATGCGGGGTCCCATCCATTTCGGTAATTCGTGATAGTGCCCATCGATCTTGATGCTGCAGCTGCCCGTCGTCCAGTCGATTCTCGGGTTGTACTGTCGCAGCCAGTCCCGTCCCAGCAGCACGTCGCATCCGTCGAGTGTAGTCGCCAGCAGCCCCATCCGAAATTTTACGTGCTCGCCGCAGTGGAAACTGACGTGCTCCACCCCCTCCCGTATAGCCAACGGTGTACCGTCCACCAATCTTGCGTCGATTTCGGGTAGACACTTTAATAAAGGGATACCCATTTTCTTAGCCCTGTCGAGCTGTATGAGACTGTGACTCGCGCCTCCATCCACGAATATTTTCAGCAACACCCCGTTGACTTTACCCTCCACCAACACAGGGTGGCCAGCAGTTTCGTCCCCCTTATTCGTCCGGGTCCGGTCGATTGCAGCAATCGGGATCACGACCCAGTGGGGACTATGTGGTTCGGGCGAGGAAGCCTGCCCGTCAGTAAGGGGCCCGGTACTTACTGACGCGACCCATTTCCCGGTCGCTCCTCCGGCTTCTTCCCCATAGAATTCTGGATGGCTATGAACTCTTGGCAGTTGCGTTTGATGTGACCCGGTCGGCCACAGTGATAGCATAGCCCCGTATTTCGCGGAGCAACTGCGTAAATGTCCACTGCGTCCATCCCTTTTATCGTGGTGCGCTGGTACTGTTCTCGAGGGCGACCTCCGTCGTAGAAGTTCGTCCTCGGCTTCGTAAGCGAATCAGCGGCTTCGGCGAGTTGGATGAAGTCATGTAACCGTTTCGCAGGTCGTTGTAATTTTATCTAGTACTGTATTTCAGGCTTCAGCCCGCCCATGTACCTGTCGACCTTCTCCAACTCGTGCATGTAGCCACATCGATCCACCAACGTCAAGAATGACGCGGTGTAGTCGGACACAGATCCCAGCTGCTTCCACATGCGTAAAGTTTCGCGCGCTTTGTCTGAGTCAGGAGCATGCTCAAACCGCTTGCGAAGCTCTGCGCACCACGTTGCCTACGTGCGAATGTGAGTTGCACCAAACAGCAAATCTGCCTCGTCTTCGTCGCCGAATTCTTCGGACCACTCATGCTGTCCTTCTGTGCGAGTTGCCGCTGAGTCGACGATGACCTTCCACCACTGTAGAGCGGCCCCTTGCAGCAGTGTCAACGCGTGGCTGATCCGCTTCTGGTCGTCTCGGATGCCCGCCGCGTTAAAGTAGATATTCATGGCGAATATCCACTGCCGCACCGTCACGCCTTTCTTAGCTGGGTCGAAAGGAGCGGGTTGCTGATATCTCATGCCGCCACTTGTCGAGCGCGGGGCTGTCGCCGCTAGCCGTGCCAGCTCCACTGGTGTCGGTTGCTGCTCACCCGCCTCGCTTCGTGCATCGTCGCCCCTGAACGCCTTTCCTGCGCCTGGCGAAGTCGTTGGTTTTCGTCACGGAGGTTGTTGACTACGCTTGTCAAATTATTCAACTGCTCCATTAATGCTTGCAGGTCTACTGTTCCCCGGGCAGATTTCGCAGCAGTCGAGGTTGTCTGTTCTAACAAACAGTGAAATTGATGAATAGTGAGAGAGAGAACACAAACATATGCCTAAATGTTGTACTCTCTAGAAGATAACCCTATACAGTCTATACAAGCATGATAACTAAACATGTTTGACACACCCCCTGGACTGCATAGGGGAATGTTCTAGACAAGCAGCTCAGGGTGGCACTACTAGTCCAGCCTCTGAGACAAGGGTCTAAAAGACCAGTCAGAAGGAGTACAGGCAAGGCAAGAACTAGTACAGGGCGGCACTACTAGTCCAACCACTGTAAGAGGACACAAGTCCAGTCTGAGTGTACACACAGATATATAGGACAGTACAGAGTCAAGGCCCGAGTAAGTGAGAGACTACAGGAACCAGACCAAGCTGCACACAGTGCCGCTGATGATCTTTAGGCGCAAGCGCCTTCGTAAAGATATCAGCTGTGTTGGCACCGGAGGCTAAGTGTACTACGCGAGCCTGGCGACGCTGCTGTAGCTCACGCAGGAGGAAGTACCGCAGCTGGATGTGCTTCGCTCTGCCCTCGAGTCGAGGCTCCTGACACAGGAGGATCATGGCCCTGTTGTCAGCGTACAGGACCGGGGCAGAGCTAGGCCGCTCACCTAAGTCAGTGAGCAAGAAGGTCAGCCAGCGGAGCTCCTGTGCCGCCATGGCACCGGCGTAGATCTCGGCCTCACAGCTGGACTGGGCAACAGACGAAGAGCGGGTAGCTCTCCACGAGACAGCACCTGAACCAAGGCTAAAGCAGTAGCCCTGGGAAGACCTGAGCGTCTCGGCGTCGTCTGCCCAAGAAGCGTCTGTGTGTCCAGTAAGGACCACTGGCCTGCGTCCGCCTAGCACTAACCCCATGCCCGATGTACTTGCAAGATAACGCAAAACCCTCTTAGCGGCAGACCAGTGCTGAGGTCGGTGCCTGCCTGTGGCCACGAAACGAGCCAGGATGCTGAGAGGGTATGCGAGATCTGGGCGAGTGCAAGTCATCAGGTACATGAGGCAACCCACTAGCTCAGCGTAAGGACCACTGGGATCTACCGACTCCTCAGGAACTGGAGCGGAGAGTCTGTGGTCCAGAGGAAGAGGGGTGGGCTGTGCGGAGGAGAACTGAAGGCCGAACCTCTGAAGGACCTGGCGCACCAAGTGTGACTGAGTCAGGGTGATGGTGCGCGCGGCTCTGTCCCTGGAGATCTGCAAGCCAAGGTAACGGCGCAGCTCTCCAAGGTCAGTGCAGGTGTGTCTCTTCAGCAGCTCTGCCTTCACGGAGGCCAGTGCGTCCCTGTCAGCAGTGGCAAAGACCAGGTCGTCTACGTAGACGAGGATGTAGAACGGAGTCGAGCCAGCACGAACGAAGAGCGAGGGGTCTGCAGAGGACGGAAAGAACTGCAGGTCAGCAAGGGTAGCACGCAAAGTGTCGTGCCACTCACGAGGCGCCTGGCGCAGGCCGTAGACTGGCCGCCGCAGAAGCCACTGGGTCCCAGGGGGGAAGGTGCCAGTAAAGCCCTGAGGGCGACGCAGGTAGACCTGCTCGTGAAGGCTGCCCTGAAGAAAGGCAGTGGAGAAGTCGAGGGAGTGAAGCTCGTAGTCACGCTGAGCCGCTACGTGTAGCAGCACCCGAAGAGTAGTCATCTTCGGGGTAGGAGCGAAAGTCTGAAAGAAGTCCACCCCCTCGCGCTGACTGAAGCCTCGAGCCACGTAGCGCGCCTTGAACACAGGCGGCTCTCCAGGAGGGCGCTTCACCGTGAAGAGCCAACGGCCATCGACCACGTTCACCCCAGGTGGGGGAACTGCGTCGACGAAGGTGCCGGTGGATCTCCAAGATGCCATCTCCTGCTCCATGGCAGCTATCCACTGAGAGGCCCAGGGTCCCGAAACCGCCTCAGCGTAAGTACGAGGGGTCGGGATGTCGAAAGCGTCTGGGTCACCCTCAGGGACTAGCAGCATGGAACAGAGATGGGGAGCAGCCTCGGACAGGAAAGCAAGCTCAAACTGGCGGTCCTCCAGGACGTCACTGCCGAGGGCAGGAGCACCCCCGACAGACGGAGGACAGGCAGGGTGAGAGACCAGAGCGGTGGCGTAGTCAAGGCGGCGGGTAGAGGCGAAGTCAGCGACCGCAGCGACGAGGGCGTCAAGACTCGACACGGGAACAGACGGGTCGGTAACGAGAGAGGCAAGGACCCGAGGAACAAGAGGACGAGCGGCACGAAAGGAGTCGGACAGAGGAGGAGACGCAACGACAAGAGAAGACGGAGGAGGAGACGGGAGGAGGGGAGGTCGAGACGCGTGGGAACGGAGCAACATAGGGTGAGAGCGCGGGACAGGGGAGACAGGACGAGCACGAGAGGGGCGGCGAGACCAGACGTGTGAGGGCGGCGTCGGGTCAGGAGACAGAGGAGGGGACACAGGAGGGGAACGAGGGGGAAGACGAGCCGGGGACGAGTCTGGCAGAGGGAACACGGGGCCGTAGACAGGAAGAGGGGGAGACGGCAGGAGAGGAACAGGCGCAGGGTCAGGAGACGGAAGGCCGAGCAGACGGAGGGCGGACACAGGCGGGGACTGCTGCTGCGGCGACACAACACCAACACCAGGGCCACAAGCGGCGCGACGGCTACCTCCCGAACCCTCCACACCTGCACCCCCAGAAGGGACACCCCCAGAGTCCACAAACGGCGGCAGCGACGACAGCGGCGGCGGCGGCGGCGGCTGCAGCGACGGCTGCGACGGCGGCGGCGGCGGAGACGACGGCTGCAACGGCGGCGGCGGTGGAGACGACGGCTGCAGCAGCTGCGGCGACGGCGGCTGCGGAGGCGGTGGAGGAGGAGACACCGGGGGAGGGACAGACGGCGAGGACTGCGCCGGAGGACTACCAGAGTCAGAAGACTCGTCGACCGGGACGACCGACGGGAGGGGGGTGACGTGAGACACACCAGAGGGGGCCGGACGGGGGGCGGGGGGGGGGAGGGGCAGGGACCACCAGGGAGGGAGGAACCAGGAAAAGGGGGGGAGTAACCGGGGGACCACGGTGGGGAAAGCGGCGGTAGAAGGAGACGGACTCGTCAAAGGTGACGTCGCGAGAGTGAAAGAAGCGGTGAGACGGCGGGTGGTAGAAGTGCCAGTCGGACGCGTCAAGGGGGAAACCGAGGAAGACGCAGGGGAGGGTGCGGGCAGTGAGCTTGTCCGTGCCAGAGGCACGAACGTGAGCAAGGCAGCCCCAGACGCGGAACGCAGACGCGTCACCAGGGGACCCGGTCCACAGAAGGGTCGGCGAAACCTGCGGCCGCTGGGGGTGCGGCCACAGGTTAAGCTGGTGAGCGGCGTAGCGCACGGCGAACGGCCACAGAAAATGGGGTGCACCGGCGTGGATCATGGAGGTGCGAGCCACCTCCATGACCAAACCGATGCGTCGCTCAGCGACCCCATTCTGCTGCGGGGAGTCCGGCAGGGTAAACGTCTGGGTGATGCCCTCCGCACGACAGAAGCGACCAAGGACACCTGAGGCAAACTCGCCACCCCGGTCGGAGTGAAGGCGCAAGGCAGGGAGACCGCGGTGGACACGAGCAGAGACAAGCCAGGGGATGAGAACGTCAGGCACGTCGGCCTTCCGCTCCAGGGGGAAGACGGTGGTGTAGCGCGTGAAGTCGTCGACAAGCACTAGGAAGAAGCGCTCGCGACGCGGCCCATGGACCGGGGCTGGGCCCCAGACGTCCATGTGCAGAGTCTGCAGTGGTGCGGTGGTAGGGGGAAAAGAGGAGGAGTGAGGGGCACGGCGGAGCCGGCCCTCGACACAAGGCGTGCACGGTGGGGCGGGGGAGGAGGGAAACTCGGGGAACGAACCGGGGAGACCAAGGACGAGACCGTGCTGGGACATGTGACGCAGACGTGGGAGTGCAGGGTGACCAAGGCGGTGGTGCCAAAGGAGAGTCGGGTGAGTGAGGGACCGACAGGAGCACGCGGCTGCAACCTGGGTGGACGCAACTACCGGGGGGGAAGACCCAGCCGGGGACGGCGCGGTGTCAAGTGTGAACAGGCCGGACACCGGGTCCCGGGGGAAAGTGGTAAGGGGGGCACCAGTGGCGGCCTCGGTACAGACAGCATACCGCTCGTGACCAGGGAACGTAGTGGTGACGCCAAGGTCCTGGAGGCAGCCGACACCAACTAGGTTCCTGGAGAACGAGGGGATATGCAGACCTGTGAGAGTGCCCGAAGGAACCGCCGGACAGGGAAGGGAGGTGGAACTGCGGGCAACGACGGGACCACCGGAGGGGTCAGCAAGAGTAACTGCAGCGGGAACAGGCAGCGGCGTCAGCGTCGTGGAGTCGCGGAAGAAACACCGGGAGGCGCCAGAGTCCAAGGTGAAGGAAAGCGCAGCAGTCGCGCGAGGCGGCAGTGAAGCGGTGGAAGCACCAAGGCTAAGCAAAGCAAGAGATCCTACGCCTGACGCAGCAGGGGAGTCTACGCTAGGCACCGCTACACTAGGCAACACGGGGTAATAAGAGGGAAGCACACTAGAGTCATCAGCATACATCACATGCAAGGCCGCTACAATGGCATCCATGTCCAAGTCAAAAATCCTAACGCTACGCCTAAGCAAGCTGTGCCAGTCCGGGAGGTCGGGCGCCGGGCCAAAGCGCTGGCGGAACAGGTCGTCCAGGCGACGAAAACAGCGAGGAGTAGAATGACCGATCTTACCGCAAACGAAGCCGCGGCGAGGACCGGTCTGGATCTGGTACTGACAGGGCCCGCCTCCAGAACCACCACCCGGTGCACCACCACGCGCACGACCACCACCAGCTCCAGGCCACCCAGGTGGGAGAGTACTCGCCTGCCTCGTCTGCGGCGGCTGCTGCGGCTGCTGCGAAGGCTGCGGCTGCGGCGACTGCTGCTGCTGCGGCTGCTGCAACTGTGGAGGCAGCGGGGCAGCTGGACCGGGCAGGGTCCCCACGTCCGCACTGGCACCGGACGACCCGCCTCCACCACTACCCACACCCGCACCCCCGCCGCCTCCGCCGCTCCCAACCTTGGGGCGGCGGCCCTTCGCCGAGCGGGACTGCACTGCAGCAGCAGTCTCAGCCACAGCGACAGAGCCGTCGGAGAAGGTACACTGAGCGGGGGCACAACCCTGAAAGATAGGGACCGGTACTGTACCGCTCGCCAGGGCTATGGAGCGGTGACGAGTCTCTATGGCAGTCAGGGTGTCAACAAAGTCGGTGAGGGTGAGAGCAGCAGGGTGGATGCTAAGGAAATGGTCGCGGGCGGCGGCAAGGCGGTCAGGTAGGCGGGTGGCAAGGAGGTAGAGGGTAGAGGTCATGGGAGGCTGGTGGACTCTAAGCTGAGCATCAGTGCAGGCAGCGCGCCAGGCCTCATCTATCGAGCGCAGGTGGGCAGCGAGGTCAGAGACAGTGGGGAAAGACGCCAGGTCAGGAAAGAGCAGGGGAAGGATCAGGCGACCCACTGAGGCAGCAGGAGGGGTAGAATAGCGCTTGATGACAGCATCGAGGTAGGCCTGGGCGGTAGGAATGGTTCTAAAGCGAGGGCGCTCAGTGGGGGGGAGGGCATTGCTAATGGCGAGCTGAGCAAGGGCATCGCGGGAAAGCCAGACAGAGCGGGCAAGGGCAGCAGCGGCAGTGGACTCGCGCTCAGCGGGCGTGGGATCAGCGGGCAGCACAGCAGGGGGGTCAGGGCAGGGGAGCATACCGTCTAGGTGTGCAGAAAGCGGGTGGCCGTCCTGCCGCTGGCCAGTGAGGTGGCGGCGAAGGTCAGCCAACCACGCCTCGAACTCCAGAGGCTGACCCTCAACATCAAAACGAAGCTCAGCAGCCATGAGGGGCAGTGGAGGACAGCGCAGTGCGGTGCAGTGCGATGCAGTGCGGTGCAGTGCGGTCCAGTGCGGTGCAGTGCGATGCAGTGCGGTGCAGTGCGGTCCAGTGCGGTGCAGTGCGGTCAGTGCGATCCAGTGAGGTGCAATGCGATGCAAGGCGGGGCAGGAAAGTGCAGGAGGGTGCAAAGTGGTGCGGGGAACGGGGGACAGTACCAGGAAGTATGGAGGGCCGGGGCAGGTGCGTCGGGGCCGGGCAGGCACGACAAGGCCGGGCGGCGGCGACGGGGCCGGGCGGCTGCGACGGGGCCGGGCGGCGGCGACGGGGCCGGGCGGCAGCGACAAGGCCGGGCGGCTGCGACGTGGCCGGGCGGCTGCGACGGGGCCGGGCGGCTGCGACGGGGCCGGGCGGCAGGGACGAGGCCGGGCCGGACACAGCAGGGCCGGGCAGGGGCGACGGGGCCGGGCGGCTGCGACGTGGCCGGGCGGCTGCGACGTGGCCGGGCGGCTGCGACGTGGCCGGGCAGCTGCGACGTGGCCGGGCGGCTGCGACAGGGCCGGGCGGCTGCGACGGGGCCGGGCGGCGGCGACGGGGCCGGGCGGCAGGGACGGGGCCCGGGCAGGCCACAGCAGGGCCGGGCAGGGGCGACGGGGCCGGGCGGGCGAGCAGGGGCCGGGCAGGTGCGACAGGGGCCGGGCAGCCGCGACAGGGGCCGGGCGGGCGCCACGCGGCCGACAGGCCGCGACGGGGCGAGCAGGGACGGGGCCGAGCAGGGGCGACGGGGCCTAGCAGGGGCGACGGGGCCGAGCAGGGGCGACGGGGCCGAGCAGGGGCGACGGGGATGGGTAGGGGCGCAACGGGGCCTGGAGGGGCGTGACCAAGCCCAGGTAGGGGCGCGACGGGGCCTGGGGGGAGCGCAATGGGGCCCAGGAGGGGCGCTACGGGACCTGGGAGGAGCGCGACTGGGCTAGGGAGGGGCGCGACGGGGCCTGGGAGGAGCGCAATGGGGCCCAGGAGGGGCGCTACGGGGCCTGGGAGGAGCGCGACGGGGCCCTGGAGGGGCGCTACCAGGCCCTGGAAGGAGCGCGACGGGGCCTGGAGGGGCGCGACGAAGCCCTGAAAGGGGCGCGACGGGGCCTGGAGGGGCGCTACGAAGCCCTGAAAGGGGCGCGACGGGGCCTGGAGGGGCGCTACGAAGCCCTGAAAGGGGCGCGACGGGGCCTGGAGGGGCGCTACGAAGCCCTGAAAGGGGCGCGGCGGGGCCTGGAGGGGCGCTACGAAGCCCTAGAAGGGGCGCGACGGGGCCTGGGAGGAGCGCAATGGGGCCCAGGAGGGGCGCTACGAGGCCTGGGAGGAGTGCGACGGGGCCCAGAAAGGGGCGCAACGGGGCCCAGGAAGGGGCGCGACGGGGCTAGGGAGGGTCGCGACGGGGCTAGGGAGGGTCGCGACGGGGCTAGGAGCACGACGGGGCCCAGCTAGGGGGCGAGCGGAAGCGTGAGGGGGGGGGGGGGGGGGGGGGGGGGGGATCCTACCTACGCGTGATACCATAACAAACAGTGAAATTGATGAATAGTGAGAGAGAGAACACAAACATATGCCTAAATGTTGTACTCTCTAGAAGATAACCCTATACAGTCTATACAAGCATGATAACTAAACATGTTTGACATGTTCCTCAACCGTCGAGTCTACCGGGCCCATGGCGGTCAGGACAGGGCAGAAACTAGCGCACACGCTGTAGTTGTTGACGTAAAAATATTTACGATCAAAGGCAACTGCTGTGCAACCGTGTTAATCCCCTCTGACCACCCTGAACTAACTAACTGGGGAAACGGAAGGTTCCGAGAAAGGTCGGGCTCTGATACCAGCTGTTATGATTTAGAAAATGTCAATGTACTAGAACGTGAGAATACAATGTCACTATTGCCATGAAAGCACGAGGTTAAATAGGAGTGGACGTAATAGGGCGATAACCTCGGGACGTGGTTAGGTTCGGCAATGTGGCGACGCTGTCGGGCGCGACTCGAGAAAGGGTTGGGCCGAAAATGTAGGCCGAACGTGACGAGTTGAAGTGTTCGGGTGTACGCGGTAGCGGCCGACTCAGTAAGGAATGGAAATTCCTTACAACCAACCCCGAGTACAGCTGGGAAAGCAGGGGCGAGCCACCCCCCCACACATACCCCCGATACTCGATCACATTCTCGCCATTGCCCTCCGCGCTACTCAGCAGTTCTCTTCATATCACAATCACTATGCAATACATTGTCATGTACACCATTTATACATGACACTGATTTGAGATGAGCTAAGCCATTCTGAATCAACTCTGTTATGTGCTATGGTTAGGCGAATGCTAGACGTTATTCGTCATTAGCATGTTTCGACCTGCAGCAGCACAACTAACATGCAACAGACGTTTTGAACTTCAAGCCTTTCTTGCATCCAACTGTGCTTGCAAAGAAGAGGGTAACACATGACTCCTCTGCCTTATAAGTGTACCTGCCAACAGCACGGAAATGAAACAATGCGGACGCTTAGGGATGAAATGAACGGTACAATATTTTGACGGCAGTATATTGTTCACGTTGCTTTCTAACCAAAGCATGACGAATGCTCACAATCTGTGCTAGATAAAGATCTACAAACTGAACCATGGGGTGAAAGATCAAGCTTCAAGCTCTAGTGCATGGGGTCAACCATTCTGGGGCAAAAAACAGTACTTTGCTTTAAGCTCCATGCGTTCAATAGCAAGGGTTAAAACAGAGTGCGGGGAGCCTACCTTCCAAAAAGAGAGGTGGGGGCGAGCATCGTTCCTCGCTCTGAGTTCTTCAGACAGGCATCGTAGTCCCCTTCGTCCCCTCCATTGTACTGATACACATTCGCCTTGGTGTTCCATATAAACACTGCAATAGTGGAGACAAACGAAACATAGAAATTATTTTTTTAGCATGCATCTTAACCCCCGTTGTCACTCCCATCATAATGCTACACGTTGATCTTGCTGTTCCACAAAGACTGAGATTTTGGACGGGCACACAAAAGGCGCATATTGCATGAGTTTATACTCGAGATTGTGGGAAATCGATAAGCAGGAGTCGAGCCTCCCTCACACCCACCGCTTTTAAGACATGCATGGGTGGGGCACTACATGGTGGAAGGAGATGGGGTGGAATGCCGTGCGAGCTTGTCACCATGGCTTACCCAGCTTGTGAGCCGACGCTCCTGTCATATCTAAGGCGTCTCACACACCACACATCTAAGGCGTCTCACACACCACACATCTAAGGCGTCTCACACACCACACATCCAAGGCGTCTCACACACCACACATCCAAGGCGTCTCACACACCACACATCCAAGGCGTCTCACACACCACACGTCTAAGGAGTCTCACACACCACACGTATAAGGCGTCTCACACACCACACATCTAAGGCGTCTCACACACCACACATCTAAGGCGTTTCACACACCACACATCTAAGGCGTCTCACACACCACACATCTAAGGCGTCTCGCACACCACACATCTAAGGCGTCTCACACACCACACATCTAAGGCGTCTCACACACCACACATCTAAGGCGTCTCACACACCACCCCTCCGGTTTGTCCCCGTTGTTGATTTCTCCAGAAACCTTCCCCTCTTCACATTCGCCGCGCTCCAAGGGCAGTGTAGTCGCCACAGCATCATATGTAGAGCCCATAAAAATACACCAGTTTATCAGGCTCCCCCAAAATATCTAGACTCGACTCAAAATACACCTCTACTTCAGGCGACCGCCTTCTCGACCTGCTTGCTCGACCTGCTCGCTCGACCTGCCCGCTCGACCTTCTCCCTCGTCCTGCTCCCTCGTCCTGCTCGTTCGACCTGCTTCAGGACTCAAATATCCCCAAGGTACATGCTAAAGGCCATTCGAGGCGCCCCGAGACTCACGTACCCAGCTGGTCGCCAGTCTTGATCTCAGCGGGAGCGCTCCACCTCTTTTGAAAGCCGACACCCCACGGGTTGAGGTTCTTCTTCGACCACGTGCCGCGCTTCGTCAGCTTCAACCCGCCACCCACGTAGTACGTCTTAGCCTACGAGCCGCGTTAGGGCGATAGGGAGAGAAGGACGAAGGGACGCCCCGACTTGAGCCGGAGAGAGGGATTCAACCCGCCTCCCGGACGGTGCGTCTTAATCCCACAGGCGAGCATGGTTCCTCGTTCCGAGTTCTTCACACAGGCTTCGAAGGCGCTGTCACGATAGGGGGAATATGACTTGAGAGGCGCCTGCACCCTCAATAGTCTCTGCGGGTTGAAGTTCATAGGCTAGAGCGCGCTGCGGGTGGGCTAGAGCGCGCCGCAGGTAGAATTCCGGAGAACGGGGAGAAAACGGGGGAAGATCGGAGAACTAGGAAGAGAGCGGAGCGACGTGGAGAGGTGGAGAGAAGGTGAAGGGAATGGAAGAAGGAATAGCCAGGAAGGCAATACCAGTGATTTTCTTGGTTTCGCTTGGCTTACCTGTGCTGTTAGAGGGGCTGTGGCAGCGCACACGTCGGGCAGCACCAAGTACACGTCAGGCAACACCGAGTACACGTCAGGTAGCACCGAGTACACGTCAGGCAGCACCATGTACACGTCAGGCAGCACCATGTACACGTCAGGCAGGATCAGTAGAGCGCAGGAGCAGCCACGTCAGGCAGCACACGCGGGTCGAAACGCCATGACGAGGGCGAAAGAGAGAGGGGATATTTTAAGGCTAACGCCACCATAACGGGGGGGATCACTGTAACGAGGATCACACGTGGGCAGTTAATACTTCGATAAATGACCAAGAAAAAAGCGTCGGGAAAAAGATAAGCACTCTCCAGTCACGTACCAGCGAGGGCAAGAGCGGTGAGGCAAAGCAGGAGTGTTTGGCGATGCAACGACATGGCGACGCCGTTCTTTTGTACGCCGCTCTGTAATCGACGGCTCGTTGAAGGGACGTAACCTATGTAACAAGCTGAAAAGTACGAGGACTAAAAAGACGACGGAAAGTGCAAACGCTGAATGGAGCCCGTGTCGCAAGTGATAGGAGAGCGTAAACGAGGCAATAGGCGATGCGAGGCAAGTCTGGCCTGTACGGTATCAGTTGCACTGGACTTCGAGATGGAAAAAAGCAGCGTAGGGGAAGTTGGGTTTGGAATTGTCGACCAGGTGGAGGGGCAGAGGGGGTCGTGGACGTGGACGGGAATGCATTCTGTCGTGTTGGTCCTTGCTGCAGGCTGAGGGAGCGAGGCGAGGCGCGGTTGGAGTGAGAGTTCAGGAGTGACGCGAAGCGAGCATTCAGGAGTTTAGGATTTTAGGGAGGGATCCGTTCAGGGTGTTCTGTTGTGGTGTCAAGGCGAGGAAGGGGGGTGGGGGGGGGGGGGGGGGGGGGAGGAGGAAGGGCGCCAGAGGCAGTCAACCAGTAGTTTCGGGGCTCGTGTCCGACACTACATGACGGGTGGGTCTTCCCCAGCTTGACGGCTGTTTTGACTGGAAACGCCCAATTGTCAAGAATTCGTCCGCCAATGTACAACTCCCAATGTCATACAGCCACTTTTCGCTTTCGCTCAACCGTCAAAATCACAAGACTCGCAGGTTGATTTTTAAGACCCGCGGCTCCTTCGACCGCGGGTCGACTCTGATGTGTACATCAAGTCCCGTGGATCCCCGGACCACACCCGAGAACAGCCTTGGAAATTTCGAGCAGGTCCTTGGTTTCAGGTGGTGAAGGCCAGGTGCCGCAAGCAAACATCTTCGTAACGGACACGTTGAGAACCCTATGAAGATGCTCGAACTTTTTGGTTCAGATAGGCCCTTCCATCAGCAGGGTGGTTCGGGTTTTGTGTCTCAAGATAGGAACTGGAGTGTGCATCCGACTCCGTTCTGGTGAGTGTGGCTATACTGCAGTTCCGTGTACTATTGGTAGCCAGGTTCACTTGTCCCCTCCGTACCACACCAAAAAGGGTCATGAAAGGATTTAAATATGCAGTTTCATCCAGTAGCAAAATGTACTTTCGTTTTCAGGGAACTACCCCGGAACAAAGAAATGTAGTTCTGAGCTCACGTCTGCACTGTGCAGATCTCTCGCTGTTGGCACGTGCTTGTACGCGGTCTTATAGTCCCAGTAGAGGTATGCTATTCATCAACACTTACCAAAGGCAAACTAATAGTTTGTGGTATTTTTGCTATTTGTGGGTCCTGAAGCAAGTCACGTCTCATATTAGAGGATTTAGTGTAGCTAAAAATAAAATTTAACACTATAAAACAACGGTGTACGGCATGGAAGGAAGATATTGGGGAGATTTACGAAGCTGTGTAGTAGTATGGTTGGATAATCATGTTCAGTAAGGCAATCAGGTTCGTTCGCGCTATTATCATGGGCCTGCCTTATCACCTGGCTTCCAAAAAGGTGGGAGTGATTGTTCGGGGCGTGTCCTTTACCGCACATGATGACTGTGGCGTGACATTTTAGAGCTCTGATGATGTCATACTGACGTGGATGGCCCTTCAGCCAAGCCTTGTGGGACAGCTGGCGCGATGGACGGCGTTGCTCTTGATTTGAGGTTTCCGTGCAGGTGAGGCCTCCGAGTACAGCAGGCCCGACAAGCTGCACCACACCATAAGTCCGAACCAGAAGGGGAGGTCTGGCGTATAGCTCATTGCCTCCATGGTAGGGGCAGTAGCTCAGGGCAGTTAGAGCTTGCCAAAGCTACGTGACATACTGAACTGTGAGGTCTGAGAAAAGCGACTCGGTTCTGGTAACTGTGGCTCCCTAGGCTCGCCAAAGGAGACTATTAATAGCCGTCGCCGTACCTATGACAGCCAATGACAGCTTCACAAGCATGTATGAACTTGACCATCTCACACATTTTTGGCGAGTAACGCAGGCTCGATACGTGCTTAACCTCTTAATCAGGCCCAAACCTGGTCTGGAGTCCTTCTGCTTGTCATCAAAGCTTGACGCAATATTCAGGGCGTGTTTCAGACAATACACATCTAACCATTTCAGATTGTCAGTTTCATCCTAAAGGCGCGGAGATACAATTCCCATCCCCATTCAGACGTACGCTTGGGACACGCCCTCATCGGTCATGGTACCGAACCTGGGCTCTCCCTAGGTTCTCCCTGGTTCATGCCTCGAGTTCATTGGTTTCAGACCATCCCCCTTGGCTTATAACCTCAGACCTAACTGGCTGACGAAAGCCACTCCAAACCTGCCATCACACAGCCATACGAACCAGGTTCCGATTTCCCGAACCAGCCACGCGTGTTATGTTTCATGCCGTGTTGGGGATGAAGAGGCGGCCGTGAACGAAACGCGGCTTGCGTCAGCTCACCAGCACCGATGCACCATGCATCCATGGAGCTGGTCCGTCCGATCTCCTTTCTGTTCTGTCCGATCTGTCACTTGGGGGTGTCAAGTTTTCGTTTTAGTGCGGTTCAGTCAGGTTCTATGTTTTCAACTACGGTTTGTTTGAACCCCGCCACGGCTGTGTAAGGTTTCAGGGAGAAGTAACTCCCTGGGGCATTGATGGAGCCTGGTTTGGAGATAAAGAGGAGGTCAGGTACACCGGCTTGCTAGTTAGCTTTTTTTCCGATTGGGGTTTCTTCTTACCAATCTCAGAGAAGCTGGTGGTGGTCGACTGTAGCTGGTCCGTTCCGCTTTCCTGCCTTTCCTGTCACCAAGAATTTCGCCGCCGTCCCTGCGACTCGATTCTCCTAATCTTGTTGCCACGATCGCGTATCGGCGGCGCCATTTCGCGAATTGAAGTTCTCCTGGCTGGTCTGTCAATTAGTCAACTGTTGGGAGTCCCAATAGCCACATAGCTCCTGATTGAAACCCTGTTGTCCAGAAAGACGCCAAGGACGGATAAACGCTTTAATTATTCCCTACCCCTCCTTCGTAAACTAAGCTGTACATTCATTAGTCAGGCACAGGAAACTTATTAACGGCTCCTTTTGTCGTAATTCACCGCAGAATACGGTATCATTGCACCTCGGAGCCCTGCTCATATAAACCCTGTGACCCTTCCTGATTGACCCTGCATAATTGACCCGTTACAGCCTGGTTAATTCGTCCTGTCAACCTTCGGACATCATCCCTTCTTATATCCTTATTGACAGACCGCTTCAGGGATTCTCTTCTGAATGGCCGCCATTTTCTTCCGCTGCTCTGGGCCTCCTTGCCCCTCGCTCACCTCCCCCCCCTCCCCCTCCTCCTCCGCATCCTCCGCCTCCTCCTCCTCCCCCCGTGGAAACCCTAGCACCTCTTGCTCCTCCCCCGCCTTCTGTGTGACTTCGCGCCGACCGCTGTTTCCGTCGCCCGAAGGGTCTCTTCTTTCCGACAGTACCCGTTCGATCAGCGTTCTCGGTCGTGCGAATTGCCAGAAGCAGCGGAGCAGCTGCAGTGGATTCGGCATCAGCGGCAATCGCGGCGGGATCCTCCGATGCGCCTCCGAGTTGAGGGCTCCGTTGAGCTCCTCACCTTCTCCAGCATCTCCGGTTCCCGTGGTTTCTGCCGGCGGTAGCAGTGGTGATCGCAGCGGCCGCAATGTTGAAGCGGAGAATGGGCCGGTGGGCAGTGATCTTAAGCTTACCGAGTCTGCCTATAACGGGGTGCCCACAAACGGATCCAGAGAATCCGCTGGCTCGTTTGTGGCAGCCAATGGGGAGGATTACCGCAGCGACGGACGCGGGAGGACGGCAGGAGAAGCGAAGAGGGCTGCAATGGGAGGGGCGAAGTCTGCAGGGGAGAGGCGGAAGAGCGCAGGGCGGCGCAAGAAGGCAGCAGGCGGGCAGCAGCAGTGTAGCAGCGGCGAATCCCAGGGGCACGGGGAACCCCACTCCCGTTCCTCCCAGCTCCTCCGCGCGCTGATGCGAGGACGCTTCGACGAAGCCGCGTCGCTCGCAACGGCTCCCAGCAGCAACAGCGCTGACTACTGTAACCAGAGGGGGGGCTTCGGTTGTGACTTTGAGGCGGAGAAACGAGACTGGAACGCGCAGGAATCGGTCCGAAAAGGGGGGGAATCGGCTCCCGTTCTCGTCCGCGCGGCTGCGACAGCGACCGCAGCAGCCATTGGTCTCAGCATCGTCACCGCCGCGCCCTGCCTCCCCACCGTCTCCCCCGCCTCCGCCGCCGTTTTCAGCCGCGTTGCTGACGTAGCGGCGGCGGGTTTGCCGGCGGAGGTCCTGCCGCCGATCGCGGCGGTTTCGACGGGCGACGTGTGGCCGTCGCTATACCACTCGGCGCAGTTCTTTTCGTCGTTCCGCCCGCTGCCACTTCCGATAACGTTCGACCAAGGAAGCTTCGCGGATCGAGGGAGCTTCGCCGCGCCGCCGCTGGTGTACTCTTACCCCGCCGCCAACGACGCTGACCACGCGTCGTTCGCGAATATCAAGGAGCCGCTAACGGCTCCGACCAATTCTGATTCCTCGGTTGTTTCCGCTGCTCTACCGGCCACACTACCGGCCACACTACCGGCCACACTACCGGCCACACTACCGGCCGCGCTACCGGCCGCGTTACCGGCCTTACTTCCCGCTGATTATTCCCCGTCGCCCGCGCCTTCCGATGCTGTTTTGCCCGCACCATCCGGAACTGCTGTGTCCGCCACGCCTGTATCGCTCAAGTTCGCTGCTCCCGCCGCTCCCGCCTCTCCCGCCGCTCCCGCTTCTCCCGCTTCTCCCGCTTCTCCCGCCGCTCCCGCCGCTCCCGCCGTAACCGCATCCGCGACGGAGGTAGCGCCGAGCTCGGCAGCAGGGGCTGCGCCTGACATGCTCTTTGGAGTCAACTTGTCCGTGCTGAAAGCCGCATTTGGGACAGTCTTTAAGCTCTTCGGCATCTGCGGTAAGGGTTCTCTCCCGGTACGCTGCCTTCTGAGTCGACTAGTCACCTTCGGAGTCAATTTGTCCGCGCTAAATGCGCATTCGGAATTGTCTGTAAGCTCTTCAGCATCTGCGGTGCGGGCGATTTTTGAGGCGCCTCAAAAGAAGCATCTGCGGTGCGGGCGATGTTTTCTGATTCGCGGCCTCTTCGTCCCTCCTGCCCTCCCTCTCACCTTCCTGCTTCTGCCCTCCCTCAGTCCCGTCCTGCATTGCGTGCCTTATATTGAGCAGCCTCGTTCACACCGCGCCTTTGGGCCCATCAAGTCTTAAGCCTCTTTCCCTCCCTCTTCCCCTCTCCTCTTCCCCCCCCCCCTCCCTTTCCCGCCCCCCGCCCGCTCCCTTCTTTCCTCCTCTCCGCCTTCTCCCCCACTCCCTCTTTCCCTCCCTCTTCCCCTCTCCTCCCCCCCCCTTTCCCCCGCTCCCTTCTTTCCTCCTCGCCGCCCTCTCCCCCACTCCCTCTTTCCCTCCCTCGCGCGTCCTCCCGCGCGCGGCTCTCTCCACTCGTGTGCGAGCAGCCTTCGTGGTGTGTCTGCAGAAGTCGGGCATTCTGCCCAAATCCACGGCCTCCGTGCTAAGCCAGGTGCGCGAGTGTGTATGTGTTCGTTTGGGGTTTTTTTCGGGGGGAGGAAGGGGGGGGTGTTGAGGGGGGGATCGGGGGGGATGTTGGGGGGGATTTTGTGTCTCTGTGTTTGCGTGCGAGCGAGCCCAAGTGTCTCTGTGCTTATCAGGCAAGCATTCGAGGTTCCCAAAATCGGCTTTTGATTGTTAGTTCTTTGCCTGTTCAAATGCATTTCTCTAAGTACCGCGATCTCCAGTTTTGTCTTGCCGTTCTTCCATGTCCCATCCGCGCCCTGCGCCCTCCCATCCGCGCCCTGCGCCCTCCCATCCGCCCCTGTGCCCTCCCATCCGCCCCTGCGCCCTCCCATCCGCGCCCTGCTCTCTCCTGTTCAGGTCTCCTTCCGAGTGCTCATCCCGTGCTTCCTCATGAGCAAGGTACGCCTCTCAAGCACTGCTGCTCCCAGTGTAGTGCCCCCCCACCCCTCTCCCCGCCCCCGCCTTTTGGCCCTCCTTTTCTCAACTTCGTTCCTGCTCCATGTCTCCTGCCACCTTCCGAGTGCAAGTCCCGTGCTTCCTCATCAGCAAGATATGCCTTCAGTGCAAGTTTCCTTGTTTTCCGTTATAGACTTCCACCTTACCGAAAAGGTAAAGAAGGTGAAGAAGGTGAAGAAGGAAACTTGCACCTTCTTTAAACGAATGAACGGAAAAGAAGGGAACTTTTCACCGTTCTCCCTTCATTCGTCCCAAATCTCTGTGCCGCCCGCCGTTTTCCCTTCGCACCTCCTATCTCCAACATTTTTCTCCTTCCCCCCACCCTTACCCCCCTCCCCCCTCCTCAACGCCTCCCTCTCCACCCCTCAGGTGGCCGCTACTCTCTCTGGAGAGTCTCTATCCGCCCTTGCGGTTCTGCCGCTCATTGCTATCCTCCAGGTACGGATCAGCCTAACCTCATTGCTATGGTGTAGTTGTTTTTCTTCTTCTTCTTCTCTCTCTCTCTCTCACTCTCACTCTCTCTCTCTCTCTCTCTCTCTCTCTCTCTCTCTCTCTCTCTCTCTCTCTCTCTCTCTCTCTCTCTCTGTCCCAGTCAAGAGCTACACCATAGTTCTGCTGCTCATTGCTATCCTGCAGATCAAGCTATCCTAACAGCAGCGCAGCCCCTATTGACATGCACTGGCCGACGAACACGAAAGGCGTTTCACAACTTTTCCTCCCGGCTGTGCAAATGCTGCTATCCGTTTTTTTGCCTGATGTGTTCTCTCTCTCAGGTGCTGGTGGGCACAGGACTGGGCAAAGCTGCGTGCCTCGTGGCGTTCCACAAGCCTGCATCCCTGCTCTGATGCTACTCTCTGCTCTGATGCCTCTGATGCTACTCTCTGCTCTGTTACCTCCCTGCTTTGTTGCCCGATGCGTCCCTCTCAGGTGCTGGTGGGCACGGTGCTGGGCAAGGCTGCGTGCCTCGTGGCGTTCCACAAGCCTGCGTCCCTGCTGCCCTCTGCTGCGCTGCTGCCCTCTCTTGTCACGGGCAACAGCGGCAGCAGCCACAAGAGCAGCAGCAGCAGCGGAAGCAGCAGAGAAAGCCACACTGAAGTTGTTGCTACTGCCGCGGAATCGGCAGCGGCAGCCGCAGCAGCTGCTGCTGCTGTAACAGCAGAGGCGACAGCAGCAGCCACACTTAGGACGAAGGAGTCGGTGGTGACGGCTGTTTGTGCGTTCAGCAACTCGCTCTCTCTCCCCCTCGTGTTCCTCACGGCGCTGCTGAGCCAAGTGGATGGCGACAGGGCTGCCGGCTACCTCGCGCTCTTCATGATGGGGTGAGTGGCGTGTCAGCTTTCGGTGTGTCAGTTACTGTGTCAGTTACTGTCAGTTACTGTGTCAGTTACTGTCAGTTACTGTGGCAGGGCTTTGGGTTTCTGTCTCTCTCCCTCTCGTGTTTCTTCCCCCCCCCCTCTCCCCCCTCCTCCCACCCGGCGCTGGCGTTGTGGACGATCGGCTACAGCATTCTCAGGGACGCGAGGCAAGGCAGATCCGCTACAGCAATTGCTTAACTCCCCTTGCCCCTCCTCCGCCTCTCCCCTCTTCCCCCCCTCTCCCCCTCTTTCAAATATGACAGGTGGCAGCCCGCGCTGTGGACGATCGGCTACAGCATTCTCAAGGACGCGGGCAAGCCCGCGGCTAGGAGCAGCAGCAGCAGCAGCTGCACAAAGGCAGCTCCGGCTGCTGCTAGTGCTGGTGCTGGTGGTGCTGAGGTTGGGGGGGTGCGCGCATGGGCGAGCAACGCAGTGGAGTGCGTGTCAGGCGTGGCAAAGAAGGTGTTCAACCCGCCCATGTATGGGGTGAGTGGAGTGCAAGGGTGGTAGTAGGGGTGTATGGGTTGAGTGGCATCATCGGGCGCTAGGGGCGTAAGGAGTGAGTAGAATACTTGGGTGGTAGGGGTGTAATCCCAACCTCCATACTCTCCCCACCTCATTTCTCCTTATCGTCTGCTCCCCTCTCACCACCTCTCTTAGTTCCCTGTGGGGCTTGCGCTTGGCACCACCCCGCTCGGCCGTTTCTGCCCGCCTCCCCTTTCCACGTCACCTTTTTAAACCCATTTCCTGGGTTTTTCTCTCGTCCTTGTTACGGTGTTACCTCCTTCAGGTGCTCGTGGGGGTTGTTATCGGCACGACCCCGCTCGGCCATTTCTTCCTGCCGGCTGCTGCAGACGCCGCCGCTGCTGCCACAGCCGCAGCTGCGGGCTCGGGCGATCTGCTGGCGTCGCTCCTCGGCCCTGCTACAGCCGGGGTGATGCATCCACTGTTCGGGGTGAGTGAGCAGCTTGGTTGAACGGTTACGGGTGATGATTGTGGGCGGGGGAAGAGAGGGGAGGGATGCGATGATGGGGCGAAGGGATGGGAGCGGGAAGAGAGGAGAGGGGACAAAGAGGGGGGAAGGGGGATTCGTGAGGGAGGAAAGAGTAAAATGATCAGCTACTCACCCCCTTGTCTCAATCCCCCCACTTTCCCTGGCGTAACCAACCCTCCAGGCAGCAGGCATGCTGGGGTCAGCATGTGTGCCCGTGCAAACCATCGTCCTCTCCTCCTCCCTCGCCGACGCCCTCCCCTCCACCCTCTCCTGGCCCAAGTTCCTCCCCAAACTCCCCAACCTCCCCACCCCCATTGCAAACCTTCAAAAGACCCTCTCCGCTGGATTCTCCGCCCCAGTGTTCCCTGCTGGCTCCCCGCCTCTGGCCGATCTGCACCACCTCTTTCACTCCCTCGTTTCCTCCTCCTCTGCCTCGTTCTCCTCATCCTCCTCCCCTTCCTCCGCGTCCTCACTCTGGCTGCTGGCACGAGTGGTCCCCCAGCCCTTCCTTGGGAACTCCGTCCTAGCGGCTTCCTACTCCTCTGCTGCTGCTGCAGCAGCAGCAGCTGCTTCGGCATCCATTTCTAGTGGCGCGTCTGCTGCTGTCCTTGCAATCCCGGTGCAGGGAAGAGGTGCTGCCGAGGGGATGGAGCGGGATGCGGATGAGGGGAAGGAGGTGCGGTCGTGTGAGGCGGAGAGCGGTACAGAGGCGGTGGGAGGAGTGGAGGTGATGGGGGGTGGGGGGGCGACAGGAGCCCTGGAGGTGAGTGGGCTAGAGGCCATGGAGCTAGAGATGGATATGAGCATGGGCATGGGCGCTGCCATGCAGATGGATCGACCAAACACTGCCGATGCTGCTGCATCTGAAGGGGATGATGCTGCTGCTGCTGCTAATGCTGCTGATGCTGCTGCTAATGCTGCTGCTTTTGATGCGTCTGCAGCAGCAGCCGTCTGCCCCACAACCTCTCCTGAGCTGGCAGCAGCACTGGCTCCTGCTGCTGCTGCCGCCCTCGCTCCCGCTTCCTCTGCTGTCTTCCCGCAAGCCGCAGCAGCAGCAGCCACACCAGCCCACGCACCAGATGCTGCTGCTGCTGCTGCTTCGGTGGCTGCATCAGCATCTGTATCTGTACCTGTCGTGGCTCCTGTTGTTGCCGCCGGCCCTCCGCGGACCTGCTAGACAATCGGGCGCTGGGAGTGGTGTCGCTGGTGCGCCTGCTGGTGTCGCCCATAGTTGGCATGACAAGCATCATGGTACGCTGAGCATGGCTGCATGGTCGTGTGATCTCTCGTGCCCTGGGTTGAAGTGCCTTGACAGCAACCGGGCACTGGGAGTGGTGTCGCTGGTGCGCCTGCTGGTGTCGCCCATAGTTAGCATGACAAGCATCATGGTGCATTCTCTTGTGCCTGCACCCTTTTCCTTGGTTCTCTTGTGTGACTGTGCCTGCTGAGCTTATCTCTTGCCCTCTCTCCCTCCCCTCCCCACTCCCCCCCCCACATCCACCCACCCCACCGTCTTCCATTTCCCTCCATTTTGCAGGGTGTTTTTTAGAATTCTCAAAAACACCCTGCATTTCCCTCTTCCATTTCCCTCCTCCCTCAGTTGGCTAACCTCGCCTCTCTATCCCTTATCCCCCCCCCCCCCCCTTCCCCAGGCGCTCTACCACGCGCAGCTCATTCCTCAGGACCCTATCTGCGCGCTTTGCCTCATGGTGAGTTCTGCTGACTAGCCTCTCAGCCTCATGGTATGCCCATGCATGCAACGGTGATCTTGCAGCATTTCGAGCTTATCCCTTCTGGCAGTGTTTTTGCGGCCACGGCCTGCCAGTCTTGCCACGGCCTGGCAGTCTTTTCAGAGCCGCTCGGCTTCGCCCACCTTGCCTTCCTTCCCCCTTCTCACTTCCAGTCATCTTGCGTCCACTCATCCAGTGTCCCCTCTGCTCGCGTCTCTTTCTTCCTCCCCTCTCAGGTGCCCACCGCCATGCCGTCCTCTCAGAGCCTTGTGGTTCTCACACAGGTTAGTCAACATAACTCACAACTATCAATCATGCCCCTCCTCTCCGCGTTGACTTCCTTATTTTCCCCCTCTCCATCTCTCCCCCCCCCCTTGTCTCCCCGCCTTCCACCCTTTTTCTTTAACTGCTACTCCCACACTTTGTATTACTCACTGCCCATCCCTCTGTCTCTTGTTTTCTCCCCCTGGGTCTGTCCTATTGTGTAACGCCAGCTGAGCTCCAAGACCCGTCCCCTGGCTGGAGTGCTGGCGTCGCTCATGCTCCGACAGGTAAGCCACTTTGACTCACTCCCCATTCATATGCACCTCATTCTTTCCGTTGCTCTTTGTTACAGCTGTTTTTCTATTGGGAGTATGCACCCTGCTGCTATTTGTCAACTGTACTATGGACAAGAAAGAATGGCATTTGTAGTCAGATATGAATACATTGAGATGCATTTATACACTGGTCAAGTCAAGAGAGCAGTGCGGGCGAATGCACACTACCAAACTGAAGTGCACTGCATTCGCAGCTGAACTGTTGCACAATATTGCACCATGCAAGTCAGATTAAACCTTGAAACTTGTATGAATTATGCACATCACATCCCTAGATCTTTAGATATGGAGTAACAGATTTGTTCTTAAATCTTTCAATGAACGCCACTTGTTACAGAGCATAATTAAGTGCACACAACAATATTACTTTTAGCTTTACTGATTCCACCTTCCCTCCCCTCCCCTCCCCTCCCTGTCGTGCACTCATCCCTCCAGTACGCCATTGCCATGCTGCCAATCACAATCTGGGTCACCGTTTTCCTCACTATCCTCAACATCCCCATGTGAGGCAACCACCCAAGTATTGGCATCCCCATGAGGCAGTCACCCAAGCTGATTCATGTGAGGGAATCACTCAAGAACATAACCTGTCTAAATTATCATGCAAGCTACGGTCACGTTTTCCCTCACCCCACCGTTACAAGGTGAGGTGAAGGGGGTTTTGGTCTCCAATGGCGATGGGGTGAGGACGTTGCTTGATCAGTGACAAGTGCCTATATCGTTCGCAGGTAGAAGAGGTGGCTGCACTGGTAGCAGAAGCTACAGCAGCGCGGAAGTTTCAATGACGTTGGCATGTCAGCATCGTGACCAAAACTGCAGCAGCGAAGGGAAATAGGAGGGGGGCAAGGTCAAGCAGAGGGATGCAGTGGTCAATGAGTGTAACTGGTGAATACTCAAGCAGGCAGCTGTGCCACAGTAGGGAAGATAATTTTAGGAACTTACATTTATAGGCAGGTATAATTCAAACAGGTATCTTTAACCACCTACAGAGGAATCGAGAAGGAACGATTGTCGAAGCTTTCTATTACCTTGCATGCAGGGTTATGCTGCCTAAATGTTGTCGACGTGCTCTCCATTTGTTCCACGGTGCATCCGATGCAACCTCGGGTATACCGGTCTTCGGGAAAATAATCCGCATTGTCAATCCATGCTGCTGAAACAGCCGAAATCCTGTGAGCAGCAGGGAGGGTTGAAGCAGTCAGGAAAAGGCCATGGAAGATGTCAACCCACGAACACAAATACACAAGGCGAAAGAGACTTACCCACTGTGACCAAGTACTGCTTGCCATGCTTCTTGCTGCGTCTTGGTGGCTGGAGAGTAGGCTTGGTTAGATACACAGTGTAGCACGAGGGCGCCACTACAGCGCAATGTGCTTGTGATGCGACCATGTGTCGCAGCACATCACTACAAAGGGCAGCTCTGGAGCAGAAGCAGGATCTCTGGGGCGAGTTGCCTTGGCATGTGACGGTACAGCTTGCTGCTGCTGCTGCTGCTGCCTCGGAGGAGGCAAGGTAAAAGTCATAAGGTGTCAGAACTAAAAGGGCAGCTCTGGTGTCGACACAGCATCACTGGTGCAAGTTGCCTTGACGGGTGACAGCACGGCTTGCTGCTGATGCTGACTGTGAGGTGCCTCTAGGGAGGAGGCGAGTGAGGAGGCGAGAGGCACAGGCAGCTCCTGCTGCTGGCTTTGATGTGGCTCGAGAGAGGCCAGGGACGAGACTAGAGCCATGAGGTGCAGTGGCAGGGCAGCAGACCCAAGGAACGATGCAGCCTGAGAGAGGGAGGGGCGCGGAACGGGGGAAGATAGAGAGGAACAGGGGCATGCAGGGGACTTAGAAAGAGCCATGAGGTGCAGAGGGAGAGCAGCGGAGCAGAGTAGATATGGAAGAGTCTATTTTTGAGGCGCCTCAAAAAAAGACTCCTCACGCTCGGAGCAGAGTGCATTTGGAAGAGTCAGCACGGAGAGTGAGAAAGGTGAAGCACAGTGACAGTGGCATCGCTCACCTCCATGAAGCAGAGCATGCATCCCGTCATTGCTTCAGCATGCCACTGCAGTCACGCCAGGCACACTGAGGCACCCCCCACCCCAACCCTACCCCACCCCGACCATACCCCACCCCGACCCTACCCCACCCCGACCCTACCCCACCCCACCCTACCCCACCCCCCTACCCACCCCGACCCTACCCCACCCTACCCTACCCCACCCCACCCTACCCACCCCTACCCTACCCACCCCTACCCTACCCCACCCCTACCCTACCCCACCCCTACCCTACCCCACCCCTACCCTACCCCACCCCTACCCTACCCCACCCCTACCCTACCCCACCCCACCCTACCCTACCCCACCCCTACCCTACCCTACCCACCCCTACCCTACCATACCCCTACCTGCCAGTGGCATCGCTCACCTCCATGAAGCAGTGCATGCATCCCGCCATCTCTTCAGCCTGCCACTCCAGCCATGCCATCAGGGATCCGCTGTCGATCAAAAGACTGCTCGTGGCGGCCAATCCGTCGCTGCCACCTGGCAGCTGGAGGAGATGGCTGAGCGGCGTGGCGCCGATGAGAAAGCCTGCTAGCACCTGATAGGAGAGAGAGAAAGAAAGGAAAAGATCGGAGTGGGAGAGGCGAAATGAGATGGAAGAGGCTTGAGCTGAGGAAAGAAAAGGACGGTCTCGGGCAGAGACCGAGGGGAGGGGCGTGGGGGAAGTGGGGGGCGAGAGAGAGGGAGGTGGGGGGGGGGGGGAGGAGGAAGGGCGGGGGAGAGTGTGCGAGTGCCGGAGAGAGCGAGAGGGGACAGGACAACTGAACTCACTCCAAGGACGGGAGGGCTGAAGAAGCCGGAGGGCAGAGAGTGGGTTGAAGAAGCGTTTGGCCCAGTCTCAGCCTTCCCACCGGCTCTGCTGGTACCCTCTACAGCTGGCGCTCGGCTCTCCAGCGTTCGGCTCTCCGTCCAAAGCAGAGCGTTGTAGGCGAGGATATATAGAGCCGGCCCCCATCTGTGTGTATGCGCGCATGCGGGAGGGGGCGGAGGGGGGATGGGGGAGGAGAGAAGTTGGGGGGAGACAGGGAAGGTTAAAAAAGCAGTGACACGGATTAGACGAGGATGAGAGCGATGTGAGGCAACAGAGGAAGGTGGCATAGACGAGGGGAACGCAACATGGTAAGGGAAAGGCAGTGGGACACAATCTCCCTCCCTCCCCCATCCCTCCCGCTCACCCCACAGCGAGCAGCGCCAGTTGTCCCGCTGCCAGGCTGTCACCACAAGCCTCACTGGAAACCGTCATCGCGAGCAGCAGCAGCAGCATCAGCCCCCTCCCAGCCAACCCCCCTGTCAGGCCCGCATCCAACGGTGTTACTACTGCTGCTTCTGCTTGCTGCTGGCGCTGGCTTGGGTCGGCAGCTGCTTCGGTGGTTGGATGGTCCAGGGGGGAGAGGGTGGAGGCGATAGAAGCAGCGAGCTGGTGCAGAGCGGTGGAGGGGCGTGAAGAGAGATGAGGCGGCCGGGGAAGCAGTGAGGAGGAGAATAGAGAGGACAACGGGAAGGGGGGAGGGGATGAGGATGGCGATGATGAGGAGGATTGGTGGGCGTGGGTGCGAGCGAGGTGACCCAAGGAGGCTGCACACAGAAGCTGGAAGAGAGAAAGGGAGAACAGGGGAGAGGGAAAAGAAGGGGGTGAGGAGGCGAAAGAAGGGGAAGAGGGGGAAGAGGCATTGGCAAACGAGATGACCCACGGACGAGGCTGCACATAGGAGCTGGAAGAGAGGAAAGGAAAACAACAAGACTAACTTCAGCCGTTTACGGCAAGAGTGTCAGCCATTGAGAAACCTAAAAAAGAACAGGCTGATAAATCAATAGTTCAAACTCGAAAAGTGAGCGGCTTACCTGTGCGAATGCAATGAGCGGCAGGGAGGAGAGCACTGATTCGGGAGCGGATGAGACGGCGGATGCCACGTGTACAGCTAGGAAGCACGGGATGAGCACCCGATTCGACACCTGGCACGAGATCGGAGAAGCAGAGAGGAAGAGGTGAGAGAGTGCATCGCAGAGGAGGGAATCGGAGTCCGCTACGACTGACTCCGATTGCTCGTCGCTGACGCTTCAGTCAGCTACGATTGTCGCCTTGAGCTGACTGTAGCAGCCCTACTAGACACGAGCGACAAGACGACGACCATGTCTGGGCGACAGAGCGGCGGGGAAAGCACCTGAGGGAGACGGCGAGAGGGTGAGCGTACCTGCCTTTGCCGCGGAGTGAAAGCGGGAGACCGAGAGCGAGAGCGAGAGCGAGTGCGTACCTGAGCTAGCACGTCGGCTGTGGAAGGTGGGAGGGTGCCGACTCGCTGGAACCAGACCAGCAGAACTGCGACGAACAAACGCCGAACAAAAGGAGAAGTGAGGAAGGCCGGACTTGGCTACGATGACAAGCATGCCGACGATTGTAAGTGACAGAAAAATAAGAGTAATAAGTGATAGAAATCTCAGATGCTGAAGAAAGACTCACCGCAAGCGGCAAGGAGGTTTGTACACGTGTTGACCATGCCGCGAGAGGCGGCTTCGCGTGAAGCCAGCTGTAATATCGGGCCCGACTTCGACGCGTCGGAGACACTACCGGAAAGTGTGACTGTAACCGCGCTGTCTAGTATCGAGGGTGCTCCTGGAGCAGATTCTGCCTCGGAAACGGCTATAGCGAGAGATGACGAAGCGGGATATGCGGGTGATAATAACGAATTTGATGAAGTCGGAGTTGGCATAGATGGAGTTAACTCGCTGGAACGGTCTAGTGAAGGTGCCGTGAGCGACGACGAAGCGAGGATCACGCCCTTTTCCTGAGCGGAAGCATCGCGGAAAGATACGGATTCCACCTGTGGAAGCGATTCGAAGGACGTGACGTCAGCGGCCAGAGCAGGAAGAGCGGAGAGCGCGAGGGCCGCGCTTATGGCTGCCGCTGAAGTGAGCGCGAGAGGACGGGGAAACGCTGGTGCCTTTTGAGCCGACTCAAACGGGTTAACGTTGGATGCGGTATGGCCTCCATCGGGATTGCCGGAGTTCCCTGTCTGACCTGTTCTACTAGCTTTGTCATCTCCTAAGCTACAGCTGATGCAGCTAGTGGGTCGATAACGAGTCGAGGAAGCTTGTAACGGGGATAAGCATAGTGGATTGAAGTTCAATGGCGATGACGGGTAGCGGAGGGTGAAACGACCGAGGAGGCCCGGCGAGGTTAGGCGGAAATGGGAGGCGTGGGGAGAAGAACGTAACCGGTAGGCGGAGACCTCCGGGGGAAGAAGCTGGCTGATAGTTGACGAGAAACAGAGCGACGCCATGAGAACTTGCTTCTATGATGATGTGGTGACGAGTACTTCTAGGATTTAGTGGTGACGGTTGCTTCTAGAATACGGTGATGGCAGTGTGCTAAAATAGAACGGCAAGAAAGCGTGCTGGTGAGAATCGCTCTATGGCGGCCGCAAACCGCACCACTAGGTCTGTGCGCCGTGTTAGGGTCCGGAAGGCAACGAGTAGCGTGGTGCAAGTAGATCTTCGATGACACTACAGAAAAAATTGGCTGCAGCTTGCGACTCTTCACCGCTCACTGCGGGGTTGATGTTGTAATAGGATGAAGGTTTCGAGATAGAAACACCAGCTAAATTTCTTGTTCACCACCTAGTCTTTCGGTACCTAGTGTTTGCACGAATAGGCAGTCGACGAGACCCTGTGGAGCTGAACTGCTGAACTGAGACGCCTCTACAGGAGGGTAAGAAACTCTCGGATCCAACTACAACTAGACAAGCACAGAACTAGACGAGCTCGAAAGCCTGTGATGGGAAATGCTTTGGTACTTTAAGCTTAGGTGCACTAGGGACGCGGAGCGTGTGCTCGTCAGACTTCGAGGGACGCTGGTGAATGAGCTCCAGCCACAAAATGCGGATAGAACCAGTCAAGCAATTCCACGTGAGGGAAGGGGGACGAACTGATGGGACGAGGGGGAGAAGATAGCTGGGAGAACATTAGGGGGAGAAAACAGCTCCATCACACCCAGAGTGGAAGAGTTAGCTCAGTTTCGACCTTTCACCGCACTGAAACAAATTGAAACGTTTTGGAACTGAGCATGCCGTGTTAACTCCCAACCACACCTGAGAAGGTGGTGTGTGTGTACGGCTAGCTTTTGCTACGAGATGAGACACGTTGATAGAGAAGAGCAGAAATCGTGTGGCTGGCGGCGGCAACATCAAGGTGTCGTAGGCGCGACGAATATCCAAAGGAGTCGTCAGGTCTTGTGCGATGCCGTGCGACTCGAGAGATGCGACAGTCGGGTGCGGAAGATGCGGAAGATTCCATAATCAGTTAGGGGCGTGTTCTGGACCTCGAACAATCGATTCAGCAGCCTTCGCCTGCCAGGACTGAGCTCATGATGCTGCATACTTACTCCGCCAGTTACGTGTAAATTCGCTGAATTGCACTACTGGTTCATTTGTGTTATGCAACGAGGGCCTTGGAAACCGAATCGAGGCAGGATATCGCAGGCATCCGTTTCACCAAGTGGAAACACATCCGGACTACAGCAGCGCCACTCAGCAGTTCCAAATATTCCGGCGGAGGAATATTCCATCTCAAGCATGTGGTTTGTCGCCTACCAATACCTGGCCCTGGACTTGCCAGGCATAAGATCCACGTAGGCGATGACGGAACGGGATGATGCGTTGGCACAGTGGTGGGCGCTTTTCTGCTGAGTCGTCTCCAGCGAAGTTGTCGCAGCGCCGGAGATTGGCGGACCCAAGTGCCGACAATGACACGCGGTTGATGCCAAGCCAGGCATTTCATGGGAGCGGAATATTCCCGTGAAGCCATCCTCAGCCCCAGTGCGTCAGTCATCGGATAAATTGCTATAAGAGGTTAAAATTAAACCAGGTAGTGGTATTTACAATGAAAAGGGAAGGTGTGATTAAGTACGCCTGTGGAGTTAAACACGTAATAACGAGTTAGTTGCCGCTTTTTCATCCATGACTGAACGTTCAACTGTCAACCCCATATTGCACCTCTCGTTGACCCGCGCGTCTCGAATCCAGTCTACAGCTTTCAACGACTGGTCGGTTTGGACCTTACGCACCAGACCTCCAACGGAGGCTCGAAAAAATTTCAGGCTCCAGAGTCTCCGTCCGAACCATTTGAAACAGTACAAGCAAGGCGTTTTGCCGAACCTCATGTCTCGAATCTTGACTCCCATACCTCGACCCGTTGACCAGTCGTCTCGCGCCTCGGAAAACTCCCAGCCGAGTCAAAAAGAGCTTTGAACTCAGTTGGTATAAATGGTTGGACATTCGTTGGCAATTCATCAACTCAAGCCTCTAACCTCGATTTCCACAGCAGTCACTCATCCGACCTCGATCATTTCGATCTCATTAGCCACACACTAAAAACTCGACTGACCACCGATTTCCAACGATCATGGCAGCGAGAGGCCTTTTCGTAGTCTGCATTGCGCTCCTCCTCGCGACCTCCGCCTTTGCGCAGCGTGGCCCGCCTGGCGGAGGCCGTCCCGGCGGACAGGGGCAAGGGGGCCCAACGGGAGGGCCTGGCGGACCCGGCGGACCCGGCGGAAAGGGCGGACCTGGCGGGCCTCCTGGGCCGCGTGGCCCTCCGCTGAACCTGACGGCCGTCGGAAATCTGACGGCGGACGTCGGCGCGCGATTGGCCAACTGCTCCGCGGACCAGACGGTCCTCGACGGCCGCTTCCACATCGCCATCTTCAAGTGAGCCTCGACTCCGTTTCAGAGACGTTCTACTTCCTGCGTTACAGCGATCGCCTTGTCACTCCCATATATCGTCCGTCCGACGGTGACTCTGGTGACTTCTTCTGTTACTAAATTTCTGCGTTATTTCTCCCTTCCCCCTCCCCTCCCCCCTCCGCAGGAACGCCACCAGCAATTACAACCTCCTCGTCGAAGCACTCCTCGTGAACGCCACCGGCGGGCCGCCCGACTCGCTCGCGATCGTGCAGGGCGCCGTGTGCGACTCCTCCGCCTCCACCGCCGCGCTGCTCACGCTGCCGTTCGCCGCGTCCGACTGGCAGCAGCGCGCGGGCTGGTGGCTGCTGCACGCGGAGGCGCGCCTCGACGCGTTCCTCGAGAACGTGGACGCCGCCACAGTCGACGCGCTCCTCGCGCTCCTCCCCAACGCCTCGCTCCCGGCGGCGCGCGGCAGCGGCGGAAACGGGGCCAGCGCGGGCGGCGCGCGCAGCGGGCAAGGCGGCAGGCGCATGGGGCTGGGGATGGGGCGGGAGCTGCTGATGCGTGCAGCAGGGCGCGCCACTGGCGGCAGGCAGGGGGGGCAGCAGCAGGGGGGTCAGCAGCAGGGGCCGCCTGCTGGGGTTGCGGGGGAGATGATGGCGGGTGGGGGGGGCAGTGGCGGAGTGAACGCGACTGTGAGCGGGTATGCCGTGCTCGCGACTGCCACTGCGGCTGGCGTGGCGTGGGGCGGGCAGCTCATGGGGGTCAAAATCCCCGCCGCGGTTTGATCTGGTGATACTGCTGATGACCGTCAGCCCTGCTGCTGGATGTGGCAATGAGCCTGATTATTAGTTAGGAAGATGAGCAGGAGCTGCATATGGCAAGGCATGTGCTTGCCTGCTTGCGGGCTGTGAGGAGGAGGCCCCATGGCTCTGGCTGGAGGATGGATATTTCAAGTTCATGGAGGGTGGTTGATTTTATGGCTTTGGGATGGGTTTTGCCGAAGTAATATTGGGTCGGCATCAGGGGCAGGAATGCTGGCAAATCACCTAGGAAATGTGATCTGGCAGATTTGCCATCCTTCCCGCCCTTGACTCGCTTATGTTTATCGAGTGATGTGTTCGTGTGTTCAGGATTGGGGGTTTAGCAGATATGAAGTAATTTTATGAGCTTGAACTGCGAATTCAGCGGTGTACCCAACATCAGTTCAATTTTTGCACAGGCTGCCTTATTGTTTGTGGGGAGAGCTGAAGCAGCTGCTTTTGCCAGGAGAGGTATTTTACTATCGCGGCGCACTTGCCGTTCCGCTTCTGACGGTGCTTTGCAGCAGTTGCAGTGAGAGTACGCGGCACGGCCACTACAGGCTACAGCACTATCTTTTAGCGGTGAAATCCTTTCAACCCCATCCATTCCGACTGCTCGTCGAGTCGTCGTCGTCATCCTACCCACCTCATCGACACGGATCCATAAAGATCATTCCGTTTGCTGCGATAAGGATCCACCTCACCAAGACAGATCACGTTAGGAGTCTATTTTTGAGGCGCCTATTTTTTAGGCGTCTACTTTTTAGGCGCCTATTTTTTAGGCCTCTATTTTTGAGGCGCCTAAAGAATTCATTCCGTTTGCTGCGATAAAGATCCTCCTCACCACGACAGATCACGTTATCGCGGCTCCTCTTGCGTGCAGCGTACCACGTCCTGCGCATATCTAGCAGTTGGTTTCTGGCCAGCGCGATTCGGCAAGTGTTTTCTCTTTGAAAAGAATAGCCATTTTCAGACGTCGCAGGTTTTTGTTACGTTTGTGAGACTACGCAGCTAACTAAATTTCGGGTTTCCTTTAATTGACTGGCGGCTGCTTGAAGAAATGGAGTCTCGCGAATCGTACAGCTGAGTAGCGCAACGATTTCCCGCTTTTGACTTCCAGCATCAGTAGCTTTTGAGTCGACTCAAAAGCAGTCTCGCGAATCCGAATCGTACGGCTGAGTCGCGCAACGAGTCCCCTCTTTCGACTTCCAGCATCCGTAGCATCAGGTCGAATATCATCAGGTCGAATATCGTCAGGTCGAATCTCGTCAGGTCGAATATCGTCAGGATGATACCGAATCTCGCTGGCCAGTTATTGCATTGTCGGCAGATTCGGAAGTGCTGTCCTGACTCCTGAATCCAATGAGTTGTCGCATAGTAGTACTATCTTACGGACCGCATTTTGTGTTTCCCCTGTTTACCAATACTGCTCCCCTTTTTTCAAGGAGCGGCCACTGCACAGTCTAACGCCATGCCCCCGATGTTTCTTGGAACGTCTACTCTAGCTCCCTCTGCAGTCACTCACGCCGCGCCACGTGTCCTTTCCAGAGTCCAGGCCACTTCATGTAGATTCCCTCCCAGATCCGTCATCTTTTCTGGACCAATCAGAATAAGCCACGCGGGCTCTCCCTTCAGCCCAGGCTCTCTGGCCTTCACCCCCAGAACCCGCCGTCTAGTTAAACGGCCTGCTGACAACTTTCTCAATTCCCGACGGTCGTTTCTCGGGGACGTGCGATCAATCCGATGCAATGACTGGTCCGTCGATGGCCGTTCCGTCAACACCCGTTCTGTCAATGGCCGGTCCGTCATCGTTCCGCTGCACGGCCGGAATAGAACCAGTGTCGCGGCGTCTGCAGCGGCGGGAATTGCGGCTGCGCCAGCAGCAGCAACGGGAGCAATAGGAGCCATCGGCCCTTTGCTCGCAGCAGTTGGAGTGAATACGTCTGTTCTGCGCGCGTCCCTCGGAGCCTCCTTCAAGCTCTTCTCCATGTGCGGTAAGTCGTTCAGTTTTGAGACGTCTCAAGACTCCATGTGCGGCAAGCGAGTTTTGCTGAACGCTTTATTCCTACTGTTTCTGAGAAGGGGCGCGCCTCAGGACGAAACTCCCGCTCTGTCCTACTCTCCCGTCTTGATAGTGTGGCTCATGAAAGTAGGACAGATGATCTTTCCCCCATGAAAGCCAAACAACATCCTTCATCTACTGAACTTTCCCCCACCCCACACACCCCCCTCCCTCATCTACTGACCACTATCACTCTCCCACCCCGCCCGTTCCCCTGCACACACACCTCCTCCCTTTCTTCCCCCCTTTGCTACTCCCAGCCCTCATCGTGTGGCTCACGAAAGCCACAAGACACCATCGCTCACCATCGTTCATCGCACCACGCTCACGATCTCACAACCCCCCCTCCCCTCTCCCTCCCTCCCTTACCCACTCTCTTTCCATTTCCCCGCCACTTTTCATTTCCCCGCCTCGTTCCTCCCCCCAGCGTTCATCGTGTGGCTCATGAAAGCCAAGATTCTTCCCGAAACCACGCCCTCAGTGCTCAGTCAGGTGCGTGCGGGTCAGGTGAATTTCAGGTGGATCTTCAGGTGTGCCCACCCCTTCTCCAGGTGGCGTTTCAAGCCATGATCCCGTGTTTCCTCATGAATGAGGCCGGGTCAGGTCAGGGGTCTACTCTCTCCGTGCAGCCCAGCCCTGAACTCACCCATGTTTTCATTCTCACCCTTTACTTTCTCCAGGTGGCGTTTCAAGCCATGATCCCGTGTTTCCTCATGACGAAGGTCGCTTCCACTCTCTCCATCAACCCTGATCTCCTCCCTTTCTCCAGGTGGCGTTTCAAGCCATGATCCCCTGCTTCCTCATGACAAAGGTCGCTTCCACTCTCGCCGTTCAGCCCCTTGCATCCCTGGCTGCCCTGCCCCTCGTCGCTGTGGTTCAGGTATGCTTGCCTGCCAGTGCCACTGCCTCTAGTCGCCGTCCTCCAGGTGCGTCGGAGCTGTGCACAACTGGCTTGCATGCATCCGGCTTGCGTGCCACTGGCTGCAGGCAATACTGCATCATGCCTCGTCGCTTGCTTGCCTGCTGTAGCTGCTGTAGCTGCTTTAGCTGCTGTGGCTGCTGTAGCTGTTGTAGCTGCTTTAGCTGCTGTAGCTGCTGTAGCTGCTGTGGCTGCTGTGGCTGCTGTAGCTGCTTTAGCTGCTGGGTACCCTGGCCCTAGCCTCTGGCCTCCGTTATTCAGGGGTATTTTGAGTCGACTGAAAATGCCTCTGGTCGCAGTAATTCAGGGATTTCTAATTCTTGCCTCTTATAATCTTGAATGCTGCCTTATGTTGAGTAGTATGTAGGATGAGTTGTGCATGGTACTCTAGACGATCATCCGCTTTCCTTTCGCCGCTCCCCACCCCTCCACCCCCCCTCTCTTCCCTGCAGCTCTTCTGCGGTGCTGCTCTCGGTAGGCTCGCCTTCACAATCGCCTACCACCGTCCCTCCTCCCTCCCCTCCCCTCCTCTCCTCTCACATGTATCATGCCAGCACCCTTGATGGTAAAGATATCCTCCCCCTCCACCTCCTCCCCCCCCCTGCAGGTCCTCTGTGGTGCTGCTCTCGGTAAGCTTGTTTGCTCCATCGCCTACCACCGTCCCTCCTCCCTCGCCTCCCCTCCCGCTGCTCGCCACATCGCCTTCTCCGTCGCCCAAAGTCTCGGGCTAAGCCCCTCCGCTGCTGCCCAGCTTTCAGGCCTTCCCCCCCCTCCTCCTCCTCCTCCTCCTCCTCGTAGCAGCCAGGCCAGGTCTTCTGTATGGGGGGGTAGCGCAAGGGGGGAAGGGGGGCGGGAGGGGAGAGGGGAGGGGGAGGTGGGTGGAGGGAAGGTGCGTGGGCGGGGAGTTTTGTCCGCGCCTGGGATGGTTGGGGCGGCGGAGCGGGCGGCAGGGAGGAAGGAGGCGGTGGTGATGTCAGCGTGTGCGTTTGGCAACTCGCTCACTCTGCCTCTTGTGTTCCTGGCCACGCTGCTGAGCAAAGCTGATGCTGACAGGGCTGCTGGCTACCTTGCGCTCTTCATGGTGGGGTGAGTGAGCACTTTTCTCAAGACCCCTCTTGGGTGCATGCTCCCTCTGCCTCTTGTGTTCCTGGCCACGGTGCTGAGTAAGAGGGGTGCTGCCGACAGGTCTGCTGGGTACCTGGCTCAGCTGCGTCTCTTCATAGTGGGTGGGGTGAGTCCGCTTTTACCATGGCTACCAGGCTGCATTCCTGTGCTACAGCCCATGACATACTACATGATATAGGGTTGGTTTTGAGACGTCTCAAACCAACCTTATATCACCTGCATTCCTGTGCTACAGACAGCCCATGACATACTACAGCCCACCGCGTGTGCCATGGGTGGCAATGGTTTAGGCAGACATTGGTTTTACATATATATGTATATATATGTACATGTAGTTGTGTGTATATAGTATGTGTGTATGTGTGTGTATAGTACATATGAATGATACAATCCTGATTTAAGCTGGCATGCACCCTTGCAACAGATGCAATGGCCTCCCTTCTCCTCCCTTCTCCTCCCTCCCCCCACCCAGCATCACCAGCTGGTTCCCCACCTTCTGATCCCTCGGCCACAGCATGCTCACCCCTCTTGGCTCTCGTGTTTCCCCCTAACCCTCCTCTATCCCGCTTTCCTCCTCCAAATCCGCAGCTGGTCTCCCACGTTTTGGACCCTGGGCTATAGCATGTTCACAGGGGGGGATAGCCGGCAAAGGGAGGAGGAAGTGGCGAGTGCAGCTGCAGCAGCAGAGATGGGAGGGACGGGGATTGACAGCACTCTGAACCGTGTGGTTGAGGTGCTTAAGAAAGTACTCAACCCGCCTATTTATGGGGTGAGCTACTTTCCAGGTTCCCATCAGTAACTCGCGGTGTGATGCATCAACTTTTGAGACGCGTCACGATGTGAGCTCCCATCAAACGCTCCAATGAGTAGAGATCCGTGGGATCTCACTCACGTCAAGCGCATAGCCTTACCCTGTTGCGCTTCACCCGCCGAGGTCAGCTTCAGTCTCGCTGTTAAGCTTGGTGGCTGATCAACATTCAAACCGCTGCCATTCAGCAAGCGTTTCTAGTCCTCCCTGTTTGTTCAATCACGCACTCTCGTCTGCCACCAATTACACCTGCCTTTCCCTCTGCACTCCCCTCTCTCCCTCCATTTTGCAGGGTGTTTTTGAGACTTCTCAAAAACGCCCTCCACAGTCACGCACTCTCGTCTGCCACCAATTACACCTGCCTTTCCCTCCCACTCCCCTCTCTCCCTCCAACCTTCCGCTCTCCCTTCCCATTCCCCCCCCCCGCTCCTTGCTCTCCCGCCCATCTCCCCATCAGGTGCTAGCCGGTCTGCTAATAGGAGCCACGCCTCTCGGTCACTTCTTCCTTCCTGCGTCCTCTGCCTCTGCCTCTGCCTCTGCGTCTGCTGCTGTGTCTTCTGCCTCTTCGCTCACAGCATCAGCCCCATTAGCGTGGCTCTTCAGCCCTGCAACTGCAGGCATTCTGCATCCCCTGATGGAGGTGAGGGGGGTAGCATGTGCTGTGGTCAGTAATCTCTCGTGTGTGCAGGCGCTACCCTCTCTATCCCCCCACAGCGTGGCTCCTCAGCCCTGCCACTGCCGCCATTCTGCATCCCCTCATGGAGGTGAGATGGCCGAGCATGCGGCATGGTGGGGAGATGAGGCAGGTAGCTAGGCATGTGTTGCAGTGCTATAAGTTTGGTTTTGAGACGTCTCAAAACCAACCTTATTCTGCTTTCCCTCGTGGAGGTGAGATGGCCGAGCATGCGGCATGGTGGGGAGATGAGGCAGCATGCTAGGCATGTTGCAGCTAGCAAAGACCGTAGGCATGTGTTGCAGCTTGCAAAGACCGTAGGCATGTGTTGCAGCTAGCAAAGACCGTAGGCATGCCTTGCAGCTAGCAAAGACAATAGGCATGCGTTGCAGCTAGCACAGACCGTAGGCATGCGTTGCAGCTAGCAAAGACCGTAGGCATGCGTTGCAGCTAGCAAAGACTGTAGGCATGCGTTGCAGCTAGCAAAGACCGTAGGCATGTGTTGCAGCTTGCAAAGACCGTAGGCATGTGTTGCAGCTAGCAAAGACCGTAGGCATGCGTTGCAGCTTGCAAAGACCGTAGGCATGCGTTTTCTCTCAACCTCAAGTCAAGTCAAGAATCAAGCCACTCAGCATGCGTTTTCTCTGAACCTCAAGTCAACTCAATAATCAAGCCACTCAGCATGCGTTTTCTCTCAACCTCAAGTCAAGTCAAGAATCAAGCCACTCAGCATGCATTTTCTCTCAACCTCAAGTAAAGTCGAGAATCAAGCCACTCAGCATGCGTTTTCTCTCAACCTCAAGTAAAGTCGAGAATCAAGCCACTCAGAATGCGTTTTCTCTCAACCTCCCTCCTCTTCCCCTCCCCCACCCTCCAGGCATCAGCGATTCTCGGCTCTGTCTGCGGGGCGGTGCATTCCCTCAGTCGTCCGCTTGGCGACTCTCTTGCCCCCGCTCACTCTCCTCCCCCCCCCCCTCCCCCACCTTCCAGGCAGCGGCAATTCTGGGCTCGGCCTGTGTGGCAGTGCAGGCCATGGTCCGTGACAGGCAGTGGCCCTCGCCTCCTCCACCCCCTCCCGCATCTCCCTTTCCGGGCCCAAACCTTCATTCCCCTCCCTCCCGCCTCTTATCCCTCAGGCACCAGCAATCTTCGGCGTTGCCTGTATGGCGGTGTAAGCAGTCGACCTCGCTTCGTCCCCTCCAACTTCCTCTGCCTCTCCACTCTCTGCCCATCCTCTCCAACCCTCACCCCTCCCAGTCAGCAGCAATCCTGGGGTCAGCCTGTGTGGCCGTGCAAGCTGTCGACCTCGCTTCGTCCCCTCCAACTTCCTCTGCCTCTCCCCTCTCTGCCCATCCTCTCCCGCCCTCACCCCTCCCAGTCAGCAGCAATCCTGGGGTCAGCCTGTGTGGCCGTGCAAGCAGTCGTGCTCGCATCCTCCCTCGCCTCCTCCATCCCCTCCCGCATCTCCCTCTCCTGGCCCAAACCCCCCTCCTCCTCCTCCTCTCCCTCCTCGCCCTCCTCTCTTTCCTCCTCTCCCACCTCCGCAGCAGCGGCAGCAGTATCATCAGCTATCGATCAGCTGCTGCCACCACCGGCAGCTAACACCCAAGTCACTGCGCTCGTGCCCATCCCTGTGCAAGGTGCGTTCACCTGTTAACTGTGGCGTGTGTGCGGTTACTTATACAAGCAGTATCATCAGCTATCAATCAGCTGCTGCCACCACCAGCGCCTAACACCCAAGTCACTGCGCTTGTGCCCATCCCCGTCCAAGGTGGGTTGAGCTGTGGCTTCTCTGTGGGTACTACTGCTGCTGTGCTATCAACTGCTGGTGTATGAATGAATGTGCTATCAACTGCTGTTGTGTGAATGTGCCCATACAATACAACCCCTATCCCCCCCTTCAGCCGGCACCCGCTCCTCGCGTGTTCTCCTCAACCGCAATAAAAACCTCCACTTTATATTTCATATATGATATATATGTATATTAAGACAACCCCTATGGCCCCCTTTCCCCCCCCAAGCCAGCCACCCCCTCGTCTTTGTTCTCTTCTTCCCACAGGCTGTGTCATGCAGCCCATTGCCTCATGATAGAAGTCTAGTTTTGATTTTGAGGCGCCTCAAAACCGCGTGATAGAAGTCTAGTTTTGAGGCGCCTCAAAACTGCACTCTGGCTGTCCCTGTCATGAGAGAGGTATTAGTGTGGAGACCCGTCTATTGGAGATACATAGCTCCCCACACACACTCACATATGTATGTGTATATACACGCACACATGTATATAATTAAAATACTTATACACATCCCCCACCCCACCCCTCGTTTTCCCCTTTCCCATAAACCAGCTTTGAGGCGCCTCAAAACTTTTCCCCTTTCCCATAAACCAGCTTTGAGGCGCCTCAAAACTTTTCACCTTTCTCATTAACCAGCATTTAAGTTATGCCCAGCTCCCTCGTTCTCTTTAAATGCAACAACTGCGTGCCCGCACAGCATTTGCATCAGAGGTACAAGAGTGACAGTACAAGAGTTACTGACAGTACAAGAGTGACAGTATAAGAGTGACAGTACAAGAGTGACAGTATAAGAGTGAGAGTACAAGAGTGATAGTATAAGAGTGACAGTATATGAGTGACAATATACGAGTGACAGTATATAAGAGTGACAGTATAAGAGTGACAGTATAAGAGTGACAGTATAAGAGTGACAGTATAAGAGTGACAGTATAAGAGTGACAGTATAAGAGTGACAGTACAAGAGTGACAGTACAAGAGTGACAGTATAAGAGTGACAGTACAAGAGTGACAGTACAAGAGTGATAGTATAAGAGTGACAGTACAAGAGTGACAGTACAAGAGTGACAGTATAAGAGTGACAGTATAAGAGTTACTGACAGTACAAGAGTGACAGTATAAGAGTGACAGTATAAGAGTGACAGTACAAGAGTGACAGTATAAGAGTGACAGTATAAGAGTGACAGTATAAGAGTGACAGTATAAGAGTGACAGTATAAGAGTGACATTACAAGAGTTACTGATAGTACAAGAGTGACAGTATAAGAGTGACAGTATTAGAGTGACAGTATAAGAGTGACAGTACAAGAGTGACAGTATAAGAGTGATAGTATAAGAGTGACAGTGCAAGAGTGACAGTATAAGAGTGATAGTATAAGAGTGACAGTACAAGAGTGATAGTATAAGAGTGACAGTATAAGAGTGACAGTATAAGAGTGACAGTATAAGAGTGATAGTATAAGAGTGACAGTATAAGAGTGACAGTATAAGAGTGACAGTATAAGAGTGACAATATAAGAGTGACAATACAAGAGTGACAGTATAAGAGTGACAGTATAAGAGTGACAGTATAGGAGTGACAGTATAAGAGTGACAGTATAAGAATGACAGTATAAGAGTGACAGTACAAGAGTGACAGTACAAGAGTGATAGTATAAGAGTGACAGTACAAGAGTGACAGTACAAGAGTGACACTACAAGAGTGACAGTATAAGAGTGACAGTATAAGAGTGACAGTACAAGAGTGACAGTATAAGAGTGACAGTACAAGAGTGACATTACAAGAGTGACAGTACAAGAGTGACAGTACAAGAGTGACAGTACAAGAGTGACAGTATAAGAGTGACAGTATAAGAGTGACAGTACAAGAGTGACAGTACAAGAGTGACAGTATAAGAGTGACAGTATAAGAGTGACAGTATAAGAGTGACAGTACAAGAGTGACAGTATAAGAGTGACAGTATAAGAGTGACAGTACAAGAGTGATAGTATAAGAGTGACAGTACAAGAGTGACAGTATAAGAGTGACACTACAAGAGTGACAGTATAAGACTGACAGTATAAGAGTGACAGTACAAGAGTGACAGTATAAGAGTGACAGTACAAGAGTGACAGTATAAGAGTGACAGTATAAGAGTGACAGTACAAGAGTGACAGTATAAGAGTGACAGTACAAGAGTGACATTACAAGAGTGACAGTACAAGAGTGACAGTACAAGAGTGAAAGTACAAGAGTGACAGTATAAGAGTGACAGTATAAGCATGACAGTATAAGAGTGACAGTACAAGAGTGACAGTATAAGAGTGACAGTACAAGAGTGACATTACAAGAGTGACAGTACAAGAGTGACAGTACAAGAGTGACAGTACAAGAGTGACAGTATAAGAGTGACAGTATAAGAGTGACAGTACAAGAGTGACAGTACAAGAGTGACAGTATAAGAGTGACAGTATAAGAGTGACAGTACAAGAGTGATAGTATAAGAGTGACAGTACAAGAGTGACAGTATAAGAGTGACACTACAAGAGTGACAGTATAAGCATGACAGTACAAGAGTGACAGTACAAGAGTGACAGTATAAGAGTGACAGTATAAGAGTGACAGTACAAGAGTGATAGTATAAGAGTGACAGTACAAGAGTGACAGTATAAGAGTGACACTACAAGAGTGACAGTATAAGAGTGACAGTATAAGAGTGACAGTACAAGAGTGACAGTATAAGAGTGACAGTACAAGAGTGACAGTATAAGAGTGACAGTATAAGAGTGACAGTACAAGAGTGACAGTATAAGAGTGACAGTACAAGAGTGACATTACAAGAGTGACAGTACAAGAGTGACAGTACAAGAGTGAAAGTACAAGAGTGACAGTATAAGAGTGACAGTATAAGAGTGACAGTACAAGAGTGACAGTATAAGAGTGACAGTATAAGAGTGACAGTACAAGAGTGACAGTATAAGAGTGACAGTACAAGAGTGACAATGTACAAGAGTGACAGTACAAGAGTGACAGTACAAGAGTGAAAGTACAAGAGTGACATACAAGAGTGACAGTATAAGAGTGACAGTATAAGAGTGACAGTACAAGAGTGACAGTATAAGAGTGACAGTACAAGAGTGACATTACAAGAGTGACAGTAAAGAGTGACAGTACAAGAGTGACAGTAAAGAGTGACAGTATAAGAGTGACAGTATAAGAGTGACAGTACAAGAGTGACAGTATAAGAGTGACAGTATAAGAGTGACAGTACAAGAGTGACAGTATAAGAGTGACAGTATAAGAGTGACAGTACAAGAGTGACAGTATAAGAGTGACAGTATAAGAGTGACAGTACAAGAGTGACAGTACAAGAGTGACAGTACAAGAGTGACAGTAAAGTGACAGTAAAGAGTGACAGTATAAGAGTGACAAG